GAATTAAAGTTTCGATGGAATTAAGGTGGCTAATCAGCTGACCTTAAAAAGAGGAGATTATCCTGGATTATCTGGGTGGGCCCAATGTAATGGTAAGAGTCCGTAGAAGTAGAAGTGGGAGGCAAAAGAGGAGAATCAGAGGGAGAGATGCACAGAGATGCAACATTGTTGGCTTTGAAGATGGAGGAAGGAGTTCTCCAGAACCTGGAAAAGGCAAGTAAAAAGGGAAAAACCCAGTTTTCCTCTTCCTGTGTATGGAAACACCCAGTTCTTCCCTACTATGAGTTTCTTCCCTGTGAGTCTCCTTTACTACTCACACAAAACACTTCACTTCTGAGACTTCTGGTCACCAAATGTATGGAGGTTTTTCCCCACATCAACAGCAATTCTCAGACACCAGCAGGATGTCCAAGAATTCAACTCAATTCTGACCCTACCCAGAGATAGCATCAGATTCCATAGGTTAAGGGCTCAGCCCCATAAGACTGCCCCCCTCCCACTTCAGACACCCTTCAACCCTTCCCAGGTTGTCACCTGCACTTCTGACCAACTGCTATAGATTGGACGTTCCAACGACCCCCTCCTTGGGTTCGATTAATTTCCTAGAGTAGCTCACAGAACTGAGGGAAATGCTTACTTACATTTACCAGTTTATTAAAGGATATGATAAAAGACGCAAATGAACAGCCAGATGAAGATGTACATAGGGTGAAGTTTGGGAAGGTCCAGAGCACAGGAGCTTTTGTCCCTATGGAGTTGTGGTGTGTCACCTCCCAGTGTTGTATTCCCCAGCCTGGAAGCTCTCTGAATCCCACATGATTGGGATTTTACGGAGGCTTCCTCATGTACGCATGATCAATCATTAACTCCATTTCCAGCCCCTCTCCCCTCTCTGGAGGATGGGGGGTGGAGCTGAAAATCCCAAGTTTCCAATCACAACTTGGTCTTTCTGATGACCAGCCCTCATCCAGGAGCCATTCAAGAGCCCACCCAGAGTTGCTTCATTAAAACAAGAGACGCTCCTAGTGTTCTTCTCACTTAGGAATTTACAACGGTTTTAGGAGCTTGTGCCAGGAACCAGGAGCAGAGACTAGTATGCATATTTTGTATTATCTATACAGCAAGGAAACAGGTTCTTTCCCAGAGCCTCCAAAAAGGAACGCAGCCCTGCTGACACCCTGATTTTACACCAGGGAAACCTGTGTTGGACTTTGGACCTACAGAACTGTAAGATAATAAATTTGTGTTGTTTTAAGCCACTAGGTTTGCTGCAATTTGTTACAGCAGCAACAGGAAACTAATACACCACTATTTGTGTAAATTAGAAAAATGGAGATAAATAAATATATATTCAATCCAAATATATAAACTGGTATAGATATATTACTTTCTGGAATATCAGGAAATGGTCAACAGCAGTTTTCTTTGGGGAGAAGGCCTAGGGTTTTAGGAGACTTCTGCTGTTCTGCTTTTATTTTATACCTTATGCATTGTTGTAAGCTTTTTAAATGTCTACAATTTTTTTTTTTTTTAACTGAGGAAAATTTGCCCTGAGCTAACATCTGCGCCAATCTTCCTCTATTTTTTATATGTGGCTTACCACCACAGCATGGCCACTGACAAGTAGTGTAGGTCCGTGCCCAGGAACTAAACCCGGGCTGCTGAAGGGGAGCACACTGAAGTTAACCACTAGGCCACGGGGCCGGCCCCTGCAATTTTTTTTTAAAAAAACCTTTATTATGGAAATTTTCAAACATACAAAAATAGAGAAGACTGTAATGATCCTGATATATCTAACACCCAGATTAAACAATTAGCCATCTATGACCAACTATATTTCATTCATGCCCTAAACCAGTCCCCTCCACCCAGGTTATTTTGAGGCAAACCCCAGACATCATCTGTATGTGTTTCTGTATGTATCTCTAAATATAAGGACTCTTATTTTCAACATTTTATTTTGAAAATTTTGAAACATACATAAAAGTTGAATTTTTTCCAGTGAAAACTCATAGATACACACTATCTAAATTCTATAATAACATTTTATTCTACTTGCTTTGTTACGTAACTATGTATCCTTCCATTAATTCATTTTATTTTTTTGATGCATTTCAGAGTGCGTTGCAGACGTCAGGATACTTCACCTATATACCCTTCTGTGTGGATATCATTAACTAGAGTTCAATATTTATTCACAGTTTCTTTTTAAGGTAAAATTTACATCCAGTGACATGCACAAATCTTAAGTATACCATGTGATGAGTTTTGACAAATGCATACAGCTGTGTAACCCAAACCCCTATACCAAAATATAGAATCATCAACTCAGAAAGTTCCCTATGCCCTTCCCCGTCAATCCTCATTCCCACTCCATCCCCAGGCGCAGCCATTGTTTTTAGTTTTTTTCTACCATACATTAATACTGCAATGTTCTAGAGCTTCAAATAAACTGAATGGTACAATGTGTATTCTTTTGTTTGAGACTTCTCGCACTCAGTGTAATGTTTTTGAGATTCATCCATGTTGTATGTATCAGTAGTTTCTTCCTTTTCATTGCTAAGTAGTACCTCATTGCATGAATATAATAGTTCATCCTGACCTTTTTATCATTATGAAATGTCCCTCTTTATCTCTAGCAGTACAATTTGTCTTGAAGTCGACTCTATCCGATATTAATAGAGCCACTCCAGCATTCCTCTGCTTACTGTTAGCATGGTATATCTTTTTCCATCCATTACTTTCACGGAAATGTGTTTTTTATAATTAAAGTATGCCTTATTCAGATTGACTACTGAGTTCTTTTGACACAATCCTAGCAGGCTTTGACAGCTTCTTTCTACCTGATAGGATAAGACGTTCTAGGCTTACCTTGTATTTTTCCTGCCTGAGATCTGGAAACAGCCATTACTTTAAGGGTCCCTGCTTCCTTTTATTGAAAAAATGGCACTTAGAGACTATAATCTAAGTGCTAGGTGGATTCATTGCTACTGAGTTGATCACTGTTTCAAGGTCTTTTCACTGAGCATGACTTTCCGTGAAAGGTGTAAGCTCAGTGTCTACATTCGCTTTTCTGCAAGTGGATGTCCAGTTGTTCCAATACTATTTGTTGAAAAGACTATACTTTCTCCATTGGACTGCCTTTACTCCTTTGTCAGAGATCAGCTGACGATATTTACATGGGTCTATTTCTGGGCTCTCTATTCTGTTCCATTTATCTCTCTATTCTTTCAGCAATACCACACTGTCTTGATTAAAGCAGCTTTATATTAAATCTTGAAGTTGGGTAGCATCAGTCCTCCAATTTTGTTCTTCTTTTTCTTCAATATTGCATTGGCTATTCTGGGTCTTCGGCCTCTCCTCTTTAGAATCAGTTTGTCAGTATCAATGAAGTAACTTGCTGGGATTTTGACTGGGATTGCGTTGAATCTATAGATCAAGTTGGGAAGAACTGACATTTTAACAATATTGAGTCTTCCTATCCATGAACATGGATAATCTTTCCATTGAGCGTGACTTTTACATTTTAAGTGTGATGGAGAGATCACTGGCTAAGAGAAGAGGGGACCGCATTCAGATTTTATTCAAAAACTGCATTTTGATGAGAATAATGGGATGATGAAACTTAAACAAACTTCCAGACATAACTTACCCTTCCCCTTGCATCCAAGCACAGTTAGGTCCAAACTTATCCACAAATATCGGGGCCTCTCTTTCTGAAATTATTTTAATTACCTCCTTCTCTTTCTCCATGGATAGTAGCTTAATCAGAATTTTTTCCTGAATGCCAAACCCCAATTCCTCAAGCTTCACAACAGCCTTATTCTTGTTCTGCCCTCTTTAATAGAACAGAATAAAGAAGAAATCTCTGAAAAACTCTTCAAAGATCTGAAGGCCAATGTGAAGTCTTCTTCCCCATCACTGCTTTCTCATTTTCTCCTCATCTCTGTATTCAAGCCTAACTCTCTTTTCATCTTCTCCACATTCCACAGGAAAATAAGGCCTCTGTGGAAAGGGGACCCAGTCTTGAGAGTAATTTGCCAATACACCTGTAGGAGAAAGTGGTGACCTAATGTGGTTCAAATGGCTGAGCCAATCTCAATTGTCCCCTTCTCAAATACTGAAAACGTATGGTTGGACTTGAACCCTCAGTAAAGCTAAACTGACTTCCCAACTTAGAAATTTCAGGATGCTGTCTCTTGGTGTTTCAAGCTCAAGACTAGTCCTTCTCTGCTATATAGTTCAGACTTACCCACTGCCTATCTTCATTTCTAAACCCTTTATCCAGACTATGGTAGTTTCACATCAAATTACTATTATTAATTTATGCAAGTCTCTCTCAACTTTCATTTTCCCTCCACCCCAAAATGTTTTGCCCATGGTGTTTCTACTATTTTATGTGTGCCTCACTGCTATTTGAAAGCTTCCAATGGCTCTCTGGTGCTTCAAATAAAACCAGAGCTTCTAATGGTTGCTATCAGAACAATTCCCCAGGGCAAGCTGCCTTGTCCTCAGCTGCTCTACATTCTACCTCACACTCTACATTCTTGGGGAAAAAAATCTTTTCTCCTAATTTCTGATGACTTATTCTCCTACCTCTGGGTCTTTGAAGCTTCCCAGCTGACATGGAACCAGTTTACTTCATCTGTCCATGGTCCCCTATCCCACCCCTTCATCAAGTGGCCTCATAAGGCCACCTCCTCCAGCAAGATTCCAAGATTGGTCCAGTTATATCCTAGTACCCTCTATCTCTCAACCTCCATTCCCCCTTAGAGTACCACTAAATTTTACAATGAATTATCTCTTATTTGCTTTGCTAGACAGTAAATCCTCCAAAACTGTCTCTTCTGTAATATGTAAACCCAAGTGCCTTGTACAGTGCTTTGCACTCAATGAGCACTTATTACGAACTCATGAACCAACCATATGTAGACTATCTATGCCTAAATTCCACCAAGGGTTGAACTGGGAACAGAGAGGGAAAAAACATACACAATAACTTTGTCCACAATTCATTTACTGAATTGGGGCAGGTGATTTAACAACAGATTGCGAGACAAGGCTGGGAGAGAAGAGTTCTTGCTTCCCCTCCCAGTAGCCAGTTGTGTCACAGATGCTAGTAAATTTTCCAAAATAGCCATCTGTTGTTGGGCAAGCTGGGTCTGAAGCTGGAGATTGGCATACATACATTCTAGGAGTCCTATGCATTCCTTGGGCTTGTGGTCAACTCCTGAAGGAAGAGCAGTGGAGGTGGAAAGGGGACAAAAGAGAGATTTTGTCATTGTGCTGAGGTGGGAAGGGCTCTAATAAGATAACCCCTCTAACCTTTCCAGGCACAACTTAACCCAGATACACCTTTCCTCAGCTGTCACCTTCTTGGTGAGGCCTACCTGGCCACCCTATTTTAATTTGAAACCAATCACTGGACCTTATTACCCCTCTCCCTTCCTTTATTTTCCCCATGATACTTATGATCATGTGGCATATTTTGTAATTACTTATTTAATTGCTAAGTCCCCCTACTAGAATGTATGCTCCAGGAAGGCAGGGATTTTTGTCTGATTTGTTCACTGCTGTATCCCCAGCACCTAAAAGAGTGCCTGGTGCAAAACGTTCAACAAATATTTGATGAGTGAATGATATGGTCTGGGAGTGAGGCCTAACTCCCTCTCAAGAGCTCAGGGGATGCCTCAGCCTTCTTCTCTTATTCGACATACTGTCTCATTAGCGGTGACCTGAAGTTCTTCCTGTTGTCTAATTTCAACCAGTCTTACTACATCAGCCCATTTTTTTTCTAATGGTTTCTACTACATTATATGCAGCCAGCTCTTAGTTAACCTTGGTAATTATATTATCTATTGTTTGCGTATTTCTTGGTCTTGATTCTTTTTTTTTTTTTCGTGAGGAGGACCAGCCCTGAGTTAACATCTGTCAATCCTCCTCTTTTTTGCTGAGGAAGACTGGCCCTGGGCTAACACCCATGCCCATCTTCCTCTACTTTATATGAGACACTGCCACAGCATGGTTTGATGAGCGGTGTGTAGGTCTGTGCCTGGGATCCGAACCCGCAAACCCTGGGCTGCCAAAGCGGAGTGCACAAACTTAACCACTACATCACCGGGATGGCCCTTGGTCTAGATTCTTTGTTAAACTCTGAGGTCCTCAAAAGCAAGGGTCATGACTGTCTTGCCCTGGTAAGCTCCCCACAAGTATGCTAAACACCCACTGATTTTCCCCTGGGAGGATGGATAGCTGAAATTCAAAGAAATTGAGCTAATAGTTACTATTTCCTTCCCTGGCCATTTTTTAACTAACAGCACTAACAAGCAATAAAATTTTCATTTCAGTCCTGCCTAGTCTAGGAAATGTGCTAATGAGAAAGGAAACAACACGAACTGGTAGAATCAGGAATTAAATGAATCAGTAGAGGGCCGGCCCCATGGCTTAGCGGTTAAGTGTGCACGCTCTGCTGCCGGCGGCCCGGGTTCGGATCCCGGGCGCGCACCGACGCACTGCTTCTCCTGCCATGCTGAGGCCGCGTCCCACATACAGCAACTAGAAGGATGTGCAGCTATGACATACAACTATCTACTGGGGCTTTGGGGGGAAAAATAAATAAATAAATAAAATTATTTAAAAAAAAAAAAAAAGGTGGTCATCTCTTAAAAAAAAAAAAAAAATGAATCAGTAGAACTGAATAATCAACAAGCTACCAATGAAAAATCTAGAAGTGGCTTGACCTAGAGTTGGTACCAGATCAACAGGAGAAGGCTCAGGCCACTCTTCCATGCAACCCCCCAGTGCTGACTCCATCTGGGAGGCCCTCCCCACATCCTTACCTGAACGCAACTTTGTTGTCTGGGTGTTCAGGAAAGTGGCTGGCGGGGAACTTGCTTGAAGATTAATAAAGCTGGGGGAGGGTTTCGCTTGACAAAGAGGCACAGCATTACCTTCCTCTTTGGCTGGAACAAAATCAGAGGCAACTAATCAGAGCTCATTCCAACAAGGGATGGCCTTTCTAATTAGATAACTGCATCTGGTCTATGAACACAGGTGCCAAGGCCCTGCCCTGAATAGCTTCAAAGAAGGTGATATAAGACAAACAAAAAAGAAACCACAGTGGGACTAAGGGAAACTAAGCAGGGATGGGATGAGCTAAAATCTAATTTGCTTACATTTTACAAGTTCTTATTGATATGCACTACATGCTCATTACTGTGCTAGGTGCTAGGGCATACACAAGACATCTAAGACATGGTTCTTTAGGTGCTTAATATCTAGTTAAGGAGACAAATGAGACGCTGATGAAATGGTGATATAACAACACAAGGACATAAATAATGAGTCTGACAGTGTGGGTTGAAAATAAGGCCTTTTACCTTTTAGTTACGCTAAGTATATGATTAGATGTAAAAATGAATGTTTTCGAAAACGGGGAAGAGATCAATATGAGTACAATAGTCAGAGAAGACTCCAGGTAGGTGGAGGATATTTACTGGACCTTGAAAACAGGAAGGTTTTGATGAGTGGGAAAGGTATTTCAAGTGGGAGAAAAAAGGATAGCAAGAGCAAAGGCAAGGAAGCCAATATATCACTGGAATGACGAGGAGCCCTGGGAAACTGGCCAGAATTAAGAGTAGGGAGAGTGGGAAGGCAGGATGGACCATGGAAGACCCTTCACAAAGCAAATCTGAGACTTTAGGCTTTCTCTTAAATACAATGGAAAGCCACTGACCCTTTTAGGATTAGAAAATATGATAAAAATTCTATTTTAATTAATCTTTAGGTATTAAAATGGGATGGACATGGAAGAAATTCTTAAATGGGAAAAAAGAATACCTTTGGCAAAAATAGTTGTTAGATGAAAAAACTGACCTGTAGAGAGATGATGAGTCCTACAGAAGACAGATATTATTTTTGTCTACTGAGCAACCCTTCCTCTGGGAAACTATTCCGTCCTGATTCCAGGTCATACTGATGCGACTGCACCCAACCCTTCTCCCCCGTGGGAAAGGGCATGTGACCCAAGACAGGCCAATCATGGTATTCTGTCCCCCTTGGCAATTGTGGTTGATCCAAGGGGTAAATATAGGAGGCACATTGGGCCAGAGTCATTCCTTGGGATTGATATATGGATTCTGTGTCAAAGCAGCTTGCTTTCTTCTGATTTGCTGTGTTGGGAAGATGTAAAGTTGGGGCCAATGAAAGCTACTGAATTTGCCCAGCATGCCATGAGAAGAAGATACAAGCAAGAGACTGGAGACAAGAGAGAGCATAGGAGACAGATAGATAAATGGACAGATACCTACAGGCACGGAATAACCAGTTTCAGTCCCTAGAGCCCTGGTTTTTGCAGCTCTTCTTCCTATTCTGTGACTACCTCAGTATCCCTTCCAAATGCATAAGCCTCTGAATTTCCTTTTTCATTCAAGAAAGTCTGAGTTGGGGTTCTGTCATATTAACATAAATCATATTTTGGACATATTGAATCTGATGTGAGACTAGGCAGACCAAAGAGAAGTGCCTAGAAAAATAGTCAGGGAGGGCCGGCCCCGTGGCTTAGCGGTTAAGTGCACGCGCTCCGCTGCTGGCGGCCCAGGGTCGGATCCCGGGCGCGCACCGACGCACTGCTTCTCCCGCCATGCTGAGGCCGCGTCCCACATACAGCAACTAGAAGGATGTGCAGCTATGACATACAACTATCTACTGGGGCTTTGGGGGAAAAAATAAATAAATAAAATTATTAAAAAAAAAAAAAAGAAAAATAGTCAGGGAGATGGCACTGAGCTAAGGTGAAAGGTCAAACCGCCAGGACAGCCACAAGGAGGTGATGAAGTATCTGCAAAAATAAATTAGCCCTCCAAAGTGAAAAACTGAGAGTGAAAATTAGATCCTTGGGGAACTCTTCAGGAGTTTGGAAGATGAAAAGGAAGTGGCAAAGCAGACAGAGGAGCAATGGATGGAAAGGTAGAATAGCTGGGACCATGAGGGAATTAAAGAGCTTGAGACAGTTGGGAGTCTATAACTTACTGTCAGAGATCAAAAAAGGATAGGAAAATGGAATTCATTCATTCATTCATTCATTCATTCATATAGATAAGAGATAGTTAAGTGCCTGCAATGTGTCAGCCACTGAGGATACCACAGTGAGCTAAACAGATGTGGTCACTATTCTCATGGAACTGACAGCATTGCAGTGTAAACAGTAATTAAGCGATCAAGCATGCACATTATTACACCCCTTAACTGCTATAAGAGCACCTAACCTAGTCTATGGAGCTGAGGAGTGTGTTCTGAGGAAGTGACACAGTCTCAGCTGGGATTTGAAGGATGAAGATAAAGAGAGGGCCTCTTCACGAAAAACAAGCCTGGGGGCAGAGGCGTGACAAGGAGGTTGTATGAAGGAAGATGTCTCATTCTTGTCCTTTACTCAGACTGCAACAGAGTAATGGCCTGCCAAGAGGAAGAAGTGCCCACACATAGGTGCCAGGCTGAGGTGCTTTCTGTCTGGAAAGTCATAGAGCCTGTGAAAACTGACAGCTGTTCTATTCCCTGTCAGTTACTCTTGGTGAAGGAAATCTGTTTTTTCGCTCTGGGCTTGTGGATTTTCCAAACCCTACTGAATGTCTTCCATCCTCTCCTCCCTCCTGCTCCAGGGTCAGCAGTCATTTGATGGCTCATGCAGAGTGGTAAAGAAATAGAAACTGAAACTCAGGTCTCAAGATTCTTCTTGGGCCGGCCCCATGGCTTAGCGGTTAAGTGCACCCACTCCGCTACTGGCAGCCTGGGTTCGGATCCCGGGCGCACACCAACGCACCGCTTCTCTGGCCATGCTGAGGCCGTGTCCCACATACAGCAACTACAAGGATGTGCAGCTATGACATACAACTATCTACTGGGGCTTTGGGGAAAAAAAGGAGGAGGATCGGCAATAGATGTTAGCTCAGAGCCGGTCTTCCTCAGCAAAAAAAGAGGAGGATTAGCATGGATGTTAGCTCAGGGCTGATCTTCCTCACAAAAAATAAAAACAAAAAAATAGATTCTTCTCACCATTTGAAAAATTTGATAATTTCCATACAAATGCACTTCTAAATAATTTGAGCCCTTCCTAGGTATATAATGACACATTTTCTACCAGGTTGTAAGGTTTGAAGAATACTTTACAGATAATTCATACTAAGGAACCATATTATTGACTAGACAATGTATAAGAGAAGATGAGGCTGAGGAGCAGCAAAAGGAGGCAGAACAGAGAAAATAATAATAAAAAGTGCTTTACATACATTATCTTATATATGTCTCACAAATGACTCTTTGAAGTAGGTAGCTTTATCCACATTTTTTTGAAAAACTTTTTGTGTGTGTGTGTGTGAGGAAGATCAGCCCTGAGATAACATCCATGCCAATCCTCCTCTTTTTTTGCTGAGGAAGACTGGCCCTGGGCTAATATCTGTGCCCATCTTCCTCTACTTTATATGGGATGCCACCACAGCATGGCCTGACAAGCAGTGCATCGGTGCGCGCCTGGATCCGAACCTGGGCCATCAGCAGCGGAGCACATGCACTTAACCACAATGCCACAGGGCCGGCCCCATGAAAAAACTTAAGATAGGAAATTTGCTCAAGATTCCACAATTAGTATGTGGCAGTACTGGAATGAAATCCAGGCCTGTAGACTCCAGGGTCATGCTCTTTATCACTGCACAATATACTCTGTGAAAAGAGCTAGTTCATTTATGTGCAAGCTATGACATAATAGGCCTCTCAGATAAAGTAATCTACTCCACTACACTTAAGTGGATAGGCTCCGGAGTCGGATGGCCTCAGGCATTTCCCTGGCCGCCAGTGGGACTGTCCCACTCAAACTGAGTTCACTCTAGCCAACACTATGTCTTCTGGGATCCCTGGACATAGTCTTGTTCTAAGTATTAAGAGGAGCTACAAAGGAAGAATAATATATTCATTCAACATATAATTACTGGGCATCTATTATTTAACAGATCCAGTTCTAGGCACTGGGAATACATCAATGTTCCCATTTAGTGGGAAATGCAGAAAAAAGTACAAATACTTTTCAATTAACTAAACAAAACGAAAACACAGTGGCCAGCCCTGTGGTGTAGTGGTTAAGTTCAGCACACTCCACTTTGGCCGCCTGGGTTCACGGGTTCGGATCCTGGCTGCAGACCTACACTACTTGTCAGCCATGCTGTGGCAGTGACCCACATATAAAGTGGAGGAAGAGTGGCACGGATGTTAGCTCAGGGCTAATCTTCCTCTGCAAAAAAAAAAAAAAAAAAGTTTAAATAAAAGGAAAAAACATACACACAACTAGAATAATTTTCCCAAATGCTGGGCCATTAAAGCAGTCTGATTTTACGGGAGAGAAAGCAGGGCCTCTGACACACACCTTTTCTGTTCGAAGGATGAGTAGTATGCTGCTCCATCTGAACACCAACAGTGTGGTGCCTAGGAAAGAATCATAGCATCACATGATCAACAACCCATGCTATTATTTTACTATTGACAATTTCATAAGTTCTCTCCAGCAGATCTCAGGCTGTTCCAATTTCAGGAGGAAAAAGTGTGAAAGGGTGTACTCTTCTATTTCATGGCCAAATATAAGTGACTCTTCTTGCATTGTTTGTGCTCTCACGGTGCCTTCACTAGTTTGTAACACAGTTCTCTTATTGCTTCCTTTTTTTGTGGAAAAAATAGTAATTTAACCAAACCCAAACCTTACGAGCCTCCTACGAACAGCAATTACTCTGTGTTCTCTTCACGTTTGATTTCTGCACTATCAACCCTTTTCCTGTCCTGTAAGGTAACTTAAAAACTCTGGCTCCCCATCATCTCTAATGGACCAGCAGTTGAGTGGACAAGCAGGGCGGGAGAGCAGATAGGCGTGCAGAAAGAAAATCTCAAAGCACTACAGGGAGCGCTTGAGAAAACGTTTTAGATAGGATAACTCTGGGAAAAAGTAAGCCATTACCCTCCAGTACCGCTCACAGCCTCAGTAGGAAGCATCTGACTAAAAAGGGAAAGGTCCATTCACAGCAACGAGTCCAGAGGCAATACACCACAACTCACAGCGTGCCCAGAAGACGGACTGTTACCGCCCAGCTCAGCCCGATAGGACTACAACTCCCATTTCACCCCACATCACACCAGCCAGGTCTTCCCTCAACTCCGGTGAAGTCCCGCCCCTCTACTCCTCCCCGTTGCTCAGGCTGGAACGAAAGAGTGGAAACTGTCACACCCTCGTTGATCTTCGCGGCCCGAGAACAGCTGAGGCGCAAGGCAGCTTAATGACCTCACCTGCGATGTTAATTGAACGCCTCAACCCCAGCACCCACCATGTAGTTGACATACATGCGCAGTGGCGTGTCGGCCAACTGCCAGAGCCTTGGCGCTTGCGCCGAGGTTCGCGCCGCACGCGGCCGGGAGCGGCCACCCTACTGCGCAAGCGCTTGTGCCCTCCCACCTCCATCATCGCGCTCTCTCTATCTAGCTTGCCCTGCCGTTCTTGCGTGGGAGGCGGGGCTAAGAATGTCAATTGGCCTGTTTTCGTGCCGGTCAATGAGGTGGCTACGGTGATTGGCCGCGACTCTGAAGCTAGCGGGTTTGGGTGTAAGCCCCGAGGAGGCAACGTTTTCTGGGCTTGCCTCTGGGTCTGTCTCCAGAACGTTCTGCCGGTTACCCCCGCGCTGGGTGCCCGGCTCTGCATCGCGCCGCCATGATGGGCCATCGTCCCGTGCTCGTGCTCAGTGAGTTGTGGGGAAACCGGGGAAGGGACCCCCTTTTCGCCCCCATCTGTCCACACTTTACGGTGTTGCCCCAGCCCCATCCCGCCCTGGTCCGGCCATTGAGCCTTCCAGTCATCATTCATTTTGGAATCCCCGTCTCCCGCCTTCCTCTCTTCCCTTGGCCCATTCCCTTGTCTTCACAAACGCAAACTGACCTCCCCTCTCCGAGCCTTTTGTCTTTGCGGGCACTGGCCTCGGGAAGCCACTTCCCACTCGGCGCTCGGTTCTTCACCCCCTCCCCCGCCCCTGCACCCTTCCTGGCTTGATTTTCAGTGTGTAGCTGAATGAATGATGATTTTTCAGTCCGGCCTAGCTTTATAACCTTGGCCCGTCCGCTGGTAGCGGTGAGGCCTCGGCCAAATTGCTTGATTTAAGCGTTCCCGTCTTGATAATTGGGGTTAACAGTATTTCCTCGTAGAATTGTTAGGATTAAATGAGATAAGTAGGTAAACTGCTTAAAAGAGGATCTGGCAAACAGCAAGTGATATCCTTGGTCACTTTTCGGTAACATTCCTCCTGAATTTCTGTTCACCAACCCCTGTTCCTGAAGAAACCCTACTTCCCTCACTGGTCTGTCTTAGATGTGGTTATTCCCTCAGTGTCCCCCGCGTTGTAATCTCTCTCACTAGCCGAGTTTTCCCAAATTTTTCCATTGGTTTTCTTTACCTGTCGGGAACGTCCCAGGTTTCTTTCTGATTAGTGTGTACCACCTCCATTTGTCTTCCCGAATATGTTTCCATTCTGTGTGCAACTTCTGTATCCCATTTGCAAGACTACCTAAGACGCCGGACTCGCCATTTCCCTCCCTTACCATCTTCTGTATACAGAATTCTCTTCATAGATTTTAGTCATTTCCTCTATACCTGGAAGATAACTGTTTTCAGAAAAAAATTCACTTGACCGAAAAAAAAAAAACAGTATTTCTGATGAATCCATCAGAAAGGTCAATGCAGAATTTTAGTTACGACTGCCTAAAATAGAAATCTAAAACCTGAGAGTTGTGAGTGTTGAGATTTGATAGAACTGGATTGAAAAAATTTACAGATTTAAATTGTAGGGAATGTATAATTTGGAGAGAGGCGGGAAATAAGCATTATGTTGGTTTGGTTATAACCCACTGGCTTGTCTACATTGAGGGCCCTGGAGTGAGTGGTGTGTTGTGAAGCCCTTTTCAGGTCTACATTAATCCCTGGCATTACTGGCTATTAACTGATGAGGCTCCCTATTAAAATACGTAGTCAGCTCTTATTGATGGGTTACTGAAGCATTCTTATCATATCCAAGCATGAAGTGACTATCTTGCAAACTTTTGAGAATGTGTTCTCATTCCCCAGCACATTGTGGGGGCACTATCAATAAGTATACTGGAACTGTCAGAGTGTGATTCTCCCTATCCAAGTAGGAAAATGTGAACCCCCAAACTCTTCCCTTTTTACATAAAGCAGTGATTCATGCTTTTTTAGGGTCACCAGCCCTTTAAGAATCTGATGCTAGCTAGAGATTGTCTTCCCAGACAAAAACGCAGTCTCTCTCATTTTCTCATATAATCTCAGGGAGTTCACTATCCCACTGAGGCCCATTCAAGGATTTCAGGTTATGAATCCTTGTTGTAAATACATTAATGTTTGGTTAGAGAGAAAGTAACAAAATTCCAAAATTGAAGCTTTATGGGTTGTTTCTTAGTACACCGGGAGTTGAAGTAAATAAAGAAGTAGGTAGCCGCAAGTACATATGTTTACTTTTTAACAGCTTTTTGAGGTATAATTGACATACAGTAAGCCACACATATTTAAAGTGTACAGTTTGAGAAGCTGTGATCTGTGTATATACCTGTGTGTTTATTTTCAAAGGTCAGGGAATAAATAGCTGATATACAGTGGAGCAATCCTGGGCTGTTGCCTTTTGTTCTTATCTGTTTTAGGCCAGAACACAAAGCGTGAATCTGGAAGAAAAGTTCAGTCTGGAAACATCAATGCCGCCAAGGTAGCATATCTTTTAAGTTGTTTAAAGTATGATAGTTTGCCTCCAGCTGCCTTTCCTAGTATTTCTGTACTTGTTTGCAATTAGGGAGAGGAAGAGTTGACTTCCCTTCTTTCAGGACATTTTCCTAATGGTGCTAGAGAGAAGGAAGCTCTGCCTCTCTGAGAGATGCCTAACAGTCTTCTCATATTAACTTGTGTATAATTCTATTGCTGTATGTTGTTTTATAGTATTCTGTTTGTGTTTGTCTCCTATACTAGACTGAGTTACTTGAGGGGAAGGACTGTATTAATTCCCTTTTGTATTCCTAGTCCCCACTGTAGATCCTGGATAGGTGTTCAGTAAATATCTTTTGAAAGAAAGAATGAAATAGCCCTAGGTCTGATTTAGCATGGTGTGGAGGCCACTGTCATGGAAAGAAATACTAAGACATGGACTTCCAGTTACCTGGACTGCTGGGAAACTGAAGCTCTGGGAGGCACGCCTCCTTTTTTCTTGTGAAAAGTTTTTTCTTTCTACATCCACCCTGAAAGCATTCCCAAAGGAGAAAAACAACAGAATCTAGCCACGTGGCTTGCTATGTCTAAAGTGGTTGCCAACCCTGCTTTAGAGGTGTAGTTGTTAAAACACTGACTTTGTGGATTACTCGTGCCCCTTCACCTAACACACGCACTCCTTTGATCTGGGCTTACATGTTTTATATATTCTTTCCAATAGACTATTGCAGATATCATCCGAACATGTTTGGGACCCAAGTCCATGATGAAGGTAGGCTTATCTCTCACTGAAACTCTTTGACTACAGATTTTCCCTTTCTGTTATTTGGAACACTTAAATATAACTTTTGCTTTTGTCCTAGATGCTTTTGGACCCAATGGGAGGCATTGTGATGACCAATGATGGCAATGCCATTCTTCGAGAGGTATGACTTTTCATTTTGCATTCTAATCCTTTTATAAAGGACCCATAAAGATATATATAGACGATAATTAGTTTCTTTGGGCTGCTGTAATAAATTACCACAAACTGGGTGGCTTTAAACAACAGAAATTTATTCTCTCATAGACTGGAGGCTAGAAGTTCAAAATCAGGGTGTCAGCAGGGCCATATTCCTTCTGAAGGCTCTAGGGAAGAATCCTTTGCCTCTTCTGGCTTCTCATGGTTGACCACAATCCTTGGCATTCCTCAGCTTGTAAACTCAGTCCTTCTCGGTTGTCATGTGGCGTTCTCCTGTGTGTCTCTTATTATAAGGGCACCAGTGGTTGGACGTAGGGTGTACCCTAATATCCCATATGACCTCATCTTAATTTGATTACAGCTGCAAAGACTCTGTTTCCAAATATAATCACATTCACATTTCCAGGGAGTAGGACTTCAGCATGTCCTTACCACAACTGTGGTGCTCCCAGTAAATAAGCTGAAAGATACTGTTCTGTCCTCAAGAAACTAATAGTTGTGGTGACATAGTGCATTTTTCCCCAAAAAGAAGGGGATTTGGAAAGGTGGTTTACCTAGATATTTTTGAGGGTCAGTTTTAAACTTTCAGGCTGTGGTAAAACAATAAAGGAAAAGGGAGTAAGTGTGAAAGCAAGAAGCTCAAGAGTTAGGGCCAAGCAGAGTGGGTTAAGAGGTGTTTAAGTAGTGTTGATTCAGTGGCAATCTACATTTTTCTTTTCAGATTCAGGTACAGCATCCAGCTGCCAAGTCCATGATTGAAATTAGCCGGACACAGGATGAAGAGGTTGGAGATGGGACCACATCAGTAATTATTCTTGGTAAGAAGAGAATGGAAGGTTGATAAGGAAAGTTGGATTGAATCCTGAAGGTTTTTGCCAGAAATAATGTCATATTTTAGAAGGAAATTTTTACCAGTCCACTACTTAGAAATATTTAAATAATTTGTTTCTAATTTTCTAGGTATTCTCTCTTATTGAGTATAAAACACTTATCATAGTATAGGGTGAGCTGTGCAAATATGGTTGAATAAAATACAGTTGATTCTTGTTATTCACAGTAAGTTGTCAAGTCACCACAAACACTGAAGTAGCAAATACTAAACCATCGATCCTGAGGGAAATCATCGCTCCAGGGGTTAGGTGAGCCTCTGGTCACATACTTATTTGCTGATAAATATATACCTTATTTTATGTTTTTTTTTTGTTTGTTTTAAAGACACCTTAATTTAATACATTGTTGACTCATTAACGTTGGACTCATAGCCAATTGCGCAATAGCTCGTGCCTGAACAAAGCTTATCTAATAGTGTTGGTTTCTCTATAAGGCACACCACAGCCTTCTTGCACTTAGGAAAACCAGATAGCACTTTAGCACTACATCTTGGGCCATTTTAAACAGTGAAATCATCAACAAAATGCACAAGAATATGAAAAACATGGTACTAAATATACCACATAAAGGACACTTGTTTACAGTATGAGAGCTTAAACAAGGCATAGTATTGTCTTGTTTGACCTCACCTGGGAATGTATGCATTGGGCAACTCAAATTTTTCATCTCTGCACATGTCTGTGAATGACCACAAAAATGCTAAAGATATCAATTTGGGGTTACAAATAAATTTTAGCAAGTAGACAAATATGAATCTCAAGAATGAATCTCGGCTGGACACGTGTTAATTACTAATCTTTCCATTTCATATAGCATCATAAAAGATCACTTCTGAAAACTTGTTGCCTTTACTTGTGTAAATTTTAAGTTGGTAAAATTTTTATATTAAAAGCATTCATTTTTTAAAAATCTGATTGCAGCAACACATTGATAGGAAATGAGAAAAAACTATTTTAAGGAATGCCAATTTATAGTATTGGCCCACGTGCCTACAAATAGAGTTCTTACAAAAACATTATTATAATGTGAACTTTTTAAAAAGTGACATTTTAAATTATTTCTGGAATGCCTTTGTGCTGCATTTTGAGAATGGCAAGTTGGGTGGAAATTTGCTTGCGTCGCCGCCAACTAATCACATCTTTATTTTTTTTTAATTTTATAACTTTATTTATTTATTTATTTTTTTCCCCCAAAGCCCCAGTAGATAGTTGTATGTCATAGCTGCACATCCTTCTAGTTGCTGTATGTGGGACGCGGCCTTAGCATAGCCGGAGAAGTGGTGCGTCGGTGCACGCCCGGGATCCGAACCCGGGTTGCCAGCAGCGGAGCGCGTGCACTTAACTGCTAAGGGGGGCGGGCCCTAATCACATCTTTAGATCTAATTCTTTGATGGATTGAGAATTACATATGGCTAGTTCTATACTGTGAAGAAAAAGTTGGAGGATAAAAGAGGGAGGAAAGACTTTGTATGCTTTCCTTTTTTTTTTTGTAGAAGATGAGTTTTATATATCAAGCAGAATTTTCTAGCTGATCATCTTAGTTGAATCACCTGGAGATATTAGGTAGGTTAAGTATCCATGAGTCTAGCTATCTTAGATATAGGTAGCTTTAAAAAAGAAAGGAGGGCTGGCCCCGTGGCGTAGTGGTTAAGTGCACGCGCTCCGCTGCTGACGGGTTTGGGATCCCGGGCGTGCACTGATGCACTGCTTGTCAGGCCACGCTGTGGCAGTGTTCCATATCAAGTGGAGGAAGATGGGCACGGATGTTAGCTCAGGGCCAGTCTTCCTCAGCAAAAACGGGGATTGGCATGGATGTTAGCTGGGGGCTGATCTTCCTCACACACGCACTAAGTAAATTAAATAAATAAATAAATAAAAATTTAAAAAAAAAATAGAAAAGAAAGGGGCCGGCCCAGTGGCCGAGTGGTTAACTTCACACGCGCTCTGCTTCAGCAGCCTCAGGTTCACGAGTTTGGATCCCGGGCACAGACCTACGTGCAGCTTATCAGGCCATCCTGTGGCAGGCATCCCACATATAAAAAAAATATAGGGGCCAGCCCGTGTAGCACTTAAGTTCTCACATTCCACTTCAGTGGCCCGGGGTTCGCAAGTTCCGATTCTGGGCGTGGACCTACGCACCGCTTATCAAAGCCATGCTGTGTTGGGGCTGGCCCTGTGGCATAGCAGTTAAGTGCCCGTGCACTCCGCTGCTGGCGGCCCAGGTTTGGATCCTGGGCGCACACCAATGCACCTCTTGTCAGGCCATACTGTGGCAGCGTCCCACATAAAATGGAGGAAGATGGGCACGGATGTTAGGCCAGGGCCAGTCTTCTCAGCAAAAAAAGAGGAGGATTGGCGTGGATGTTAGCTCAGGGCTGATCTTCCTCACCAAAAAAAAAACCATGCTGTGACAGAGTCCCATAGAGGAAGTATGAGGTAGTAGAGGAAGTAGAGGAAGATGAAGTAAGGAAGATGGGCACAGATGTTGGCTGGGGGCAGTCTTCCTCAGGAAAAAGAGGATTGGCAACGGAGGTTACCTCGGGGCTAATCTTCCTCACCAAAAAAATAAAAAAGGAAAAAGCAAAACTTTCCCATCCCTAAAGACATCTTTCTTCTAAGTTATTGTTCTGACTATTCTTTAACAGGGTATATTCTTTTCTAACTTAATTCACTCGAGCATCTTTTAAAATATTTAATTATCTTTCTTTTAATATACATCATGGTCACTTAGGAATTGGTATAAAGTATTGAATTGAAACATTTGAGCACATGCCAAAGAATACATGTGAGCTTTAGCACATTTGTGTACATTTTAAAAATTAGTGCCACTGGGCAGGTAGTACAAGCAATTTGTACAAAAGGCTTTTTCTGACAAAAAAAAAATTTATATTTTTCTCTTGCAACTACTTTTAGAAACCAGCTTTGTGTGTGAATGTGTACTAATGTATTATTGTGTGAGTGTGTATTAATTAGAAAATAAAGGCAAACTTTAAAAAAAGGGGACATTTTACCAATAATCCTTCATCCAGAGGGTGAATTTTGTACATTTTTGTGTGTATTCTTCCAGGTATAAGGTTTTGTGTGTTTTGTTTTTTGTTTTTACTACCAGCAGTTTGATTACATCCTAGGTGTTGAGATGATAAGTCGATTTTCTTTTATCTATTTTTCTTCTATTTTAGAGTCTTTGGAAAAGTTTTCGTTTGTTTGTTTAGAAAACTGGTAACAAATGTTTAGTTAGCAAGATCAAGAGAATAAGTAAACCCTAGGATCAGTCTTTGATCATTTAAAATATGTCTGATGAGGACATTTTTTTCATGAATTGGTTTGTACAAAGAGTAAAATTTGGAATAGCATTAACAGCCAAATGGCATATCTTTTGGGAGAATCTATTTTAGGAAAAAAGATAAGGTATTTTTAGAAGCATGATGAGGTTGCCTTCATGTCCAGGTACTTTTTAAAACATTATTATGGTGTTTGTATTCTTTTTCAGCCGGGGAGATGCTGTCGGTGGCTGAGCACTTCCTAGAGCAGCAGATGCACCCAACAGTGGTGATCAGTGCTTACCGCAAGGCGTTGGATGATATGATCAGCACCCTTAAGAAAATCAGGTATTGGGAGGACAAAAACGGGTAGTGTCAAATATGGAAAGCCTAGAACACTGATCTGTTCTTAGGTAGTGAAGGAAGGCCAAGCAGATCATACACACAGTGGTTCCTACCCTGGTGTCGTTTTGTGAGAAGGAGAAACAGAGGAGAGCAAAATAAAGAGAAGACTAAGGGAAATAAAAGTTTTAGAAAATGGCAAAGGATACAAAGCAGACAAAAGAGCTAGGTGCAGTTCTTCAAAATATATTTTGATTACATGCTATCTTCTAATTTCCATGTTAGGCACTGCCATGGGAAATGTGTGGTAATAGGTGTACCTTCTAAGATTTTAGATTCTAGTGGGGGAAATAAGTTACAGAGTTAGATAACTGTAATTATTCAGGACTTAATATTAAAATATCTTGCCATCATGTGTGATTATAGCTAATTCAGTCAGTGCTCTAATAAAGTGCTGTGGAGGATTGTAGCCAGCAGTTTTTCTTTAAAATTGAAGGGACTAGGACTGAAAATGCTATTTGAATCCTATCTAGTAATTGAATAACTTGCTGTTAGTCTGTGTTTGCTGAGTGCTAATAGGGTAATGAAAGGAATATAGAAATGCATGACTACTTTTTTTTTTTTTTTTTTTTTTTTTTTTGGTGAGGAAGATTAGCCCTGAGCTAACATCTATTGCCCATCTTCATCTACTTTATATGTGGGTTGCCTGCCACAGCATGGCTTGCTAAGCAGTACGTAGGTCCATGCCTGGGATCCAAACCTGCAAGCCCTGGCCACCTAAGTGGGGTGCGTGAACTAAACCACTATGCCACTGGGCTGGCCCCTGCATGACTTCTAACTAGGGACTATTAGTTAAGTTGTGACGTAATTCAGACTGCAGAATTTTTTTCATTAAATTTGTTTAAAGAGTAAAACCGGGGCCAGCCCAGTGGTGTAGTAGTTAAGTTTGCACGCTCCCCCTTGGCAGCCTGGGGTTCATGGGTTCAGATCCCGGGTGCAGACCTACACACTGCTCAAGTCATGCTGTGGCAGCGTCCCACATACGAAATGGAGGAAGACTGGCAACAAATGTTGGCTCAGGGCCAATCTTGCTCACCCCAGAAAATAAAGAAGTAAGTAAAACCTATGATGTTCTGCTATTTTATATGGTTTGGTTGTTGGTTACATAAGTATCTAGTAATTCGGCGAGCTTTGTATTACACTATCTGCTAAGAAACAAAATACACTATATTATCTCTGTCTAGCACTCTTAGGGAATGAGGTGTTTGATTTAAATTATTTTTGTGAAGTAAGCTCTGTAAGAGTGTAGAGATACCCAAAGGATTTATTGAGTGTGGAGGTGAATAGTTAGAAATTTTTTCTTTTTATCAAGCAGTAACTACCTACATGTCTTAGATAATACTTTTGGAGCTATGACTTCTGCCCTAAAATCCATAATCCAGCAAATATTTAATGATTGCGTATTACGTGTCTTATACTGTTATAAAAGGGATTTTAGCAATATGTGAAAATTGGGACAAGATGGTTTCCAAGGTCTGTTACGACTTTATGGTTCTAAGTAGTCTCGTCATGTACAAACTTATAATCTTAAGGGAGATTACACGTAAAACCAGTAAACACCATGTGGCACACCATGTATTCAGATGCTAGATGAAATAGAGTCAGGTATTCAAATGGAAAGTACAGACAGATGTTGATTATCAAGAGGAACTCGCAGAATTTGTTAGTTATGGAATAAGGTTTCAAAGACAAAATGTGTCTTGGCCCAAGTTGTAAAAGTTGTCAAGTTTATTTGGAGCAGAAGGTAAAGAACAAATTGTTTTACTGTGAGCACTGTATGTAAGTGTGGAGAGTTGTCAGACATGGGAGTTATCAGGGAGTTGAGACACCTTCCAGGGATAGGTTAGTTGTAACCTTGCCAAATGGCAGGAGGATGGACAAGTTACTTCTTGATGTCACTTTTAGTTTCCTATAAAGGAAAAAATTCTCCTAATTCTGTCTGTTGGCCCAGTATTAAAGTTACTGAGATATAGATGAGGGACTTCCTTAAATAGCCAAGATCCCTGCTGAGCATATTACCGTTTTTCTTTTCTCCAGTACCCCTGTTGACACTAATAACCGTGATATGATGCTGAACATCATCAACAGCTCCATTACTACCAAAGCAATCAGTCGGTGGTCCTCTTTGGCTTGCAACATAGCCCTAGATGCTGTCAAGACTGTACAGTTTGAGGAGAATGGTCGGAAAGAGATTGACATTAAGAAATATGCAAGGGTGGAAAAGGTAAACTCTTCCAATTTGTACTTTGGAGACAAAGTATTTCCTAGCATGAATCATCCCACTTATGGAGGAAATAGGTTTAAATCAGAGCAAGAGATCTTTATAGTTAGACCTAAGAAGAAGAGTAATATTTGCTGCCTGGAAAACAAAAACTTGAAAAAGAGAGTACCAAGGAGGTATTCCTGAAATTTGTTAGCTTCACTGCTGTCCCTACACAATGTTTACAGGGGCTAGGAGGGAAAGGCTTATTGGTGTCTCCATGTTTGTGCATTTGCATACATATCAGCCACTTGCTCAGGATATAAACAAGGCCTCTACAGTGTAATGCTAATAAGCCCCAGAAAGCTTTCTCCCTCTCTCTAATTTAAGATCAAAAAGTAGCTTTAATAGCTTGTGGCCGGTAGATGGAGCCCCAAGCCTAAAGTTCTGTGGGAGTATCTTTGAGGAAGTAGGAGAGATCTGAGCCCCTTTAAATCTAATTACTGAATTTCTGTGAGTCTCAGGTGACCTTCAAATTGAGTTTCGTGGTCTAAGATTGGAGTGCTTCCTAGAGGGGAAAAAATGGGATTGCAACTATTTGTTTTTGAGGTTCATGGAAGAAAGATAGTTTAGAAACCTGAAAGAGTGGTCATTTGGGGAAGATGAATATCTGGGAAGGGAGTTGAGAAATTGTCTCCTCCTGATTGTGGATTAAAGTGGATCTTTTGCTCAGATACCTGGGGGCATCATTGAAGACTCATGTGTCTTACGTGGAGTCATGATTAACAAGGATGTGACCCATCCACGAATGCGGCGCTATATCAAGAACCCTCGCATTGTGCTGCTGGATTCTTCTCTAGAATACAAGAAAGGGGAAAGCCAGGTAAGGTTCCTGGCCCTATTTAAAGTTGATGTGAGAATCTGACTGCTAATATGGACAAGGGAAATAAAAGGTATGTTTATTACATGCCTACTCGATGTTGATCACTGACATTTACATGTAATTTTTGATTCTTAAAACAGCCCTTTATAATTTTATTTATTTATTTATTTTTCCCCCAAAGCCCCAGTAGATAGTTGTATGTCATAGTAGCACATCCTTCTAGTTGCAGTATGTGGGACGTGGCCTCAGCATGGCCGGATAAGCAGTGCGTCGGTGCGTGCCCAGGATCCAAACCCGGGCCGCCAGCAGCAGAGCGTGCGCACTTAACCGCTAAGCCGCGGGGCCGGCCCCAAAAACAGCCCTTTAAAACAGTTGGTGTTAACTTCCATTTTACAGGTGACGGATCTGAAGCTTAGTGAAGTTAGGTTAATTGCTTGAGGAACACAGCTGGTATTAGTCGAATCAGAATTTGAACCCAAGGCCGGCCCCGTGGCGTAGTGGTTAAGTGCGCACGCTGTGCTGCGGCGGCATCCCATATAAAGTAGAGGAAGATGGGCACAGATGTTAGCCCAGGGCCAGTCTTGCTTGGCAAAAAGAGGAGGATTGGCGTGGATGTTAGCTCAGGGCTAATCTTCCTGACCAAAAAAAAAAAAAAGAGTTTGAACCTGGCTCTATTTGGCTTCAATTCCACACTACAATGCCACCTTTCCGAATGCATTAGTAGAATACAGAGTAGGAGTTAATTTAGCTTTGAAGTGCTAAAGAAGAATTTCCAGAGGACTGGAGACTCACAAGGCTCCATCATCCTTAGATAAAACAAAGTAATCAAAGTTCATTAAACAAGGATTGGGAACAAGAATCATTTTATTGGTGGGAAGAATTAAGACCCAGAATTACCACGCACACTGACAGGACAGAGGTAACATTAAACTGAGTGGTCAGAGAACTTAATACCGAACTCTCCACTAATTGCATTTTGACTTTGAATTCCAGTTGCTTTATAATTAAATGAGAGAGTTAAACTAGATAATTGCTAGAGCTAAACTGGCTTATAGAGGTGGGTCATGGCTTTAACATTATTGTAACTAACTTTCTGGGATACGTAAGAGGGCTGAGTGGAGGATTCGTAGTAGTTGGGATGACCCTGAAGAGCTGTACCAGTCCAAGATTTTTAAATCAGAGTGACTTTTCTTCACTACACAGACTGACATTGAGATCACGCGAGAGGAAGACTTCACTCGAATCCTCCAAATGGAAGAAGAGTACATCCAGCAGCTCTGTGAGGACATTATCCATCTGAAGCCTGACGTGGTCATTACAGAAAAGGGTATCTCAGGTAGGACTCCATTCATTTTTCCAGACTACTGTTGAGGTAGGAGAGGGTGGGTTATTTTTTTCCCTCTAGGTTGGCACAGACTGAACATAATAAACATGTGAGGGTTGGGGTATATTGAGGATATAACCAGTTCAGAACCCAGGAGTTCTGGCTTCCAGCTTGACACCTCTACTCTTGGGTTTGCAGATTTAGCTCAGCACTACCTCATGCGGGCCAATATCACAGCCATCCGCAGAGTCCGGAAGACAGACAATAATCGCATTGCTAGGTGAGTAGGCCAGGTAAAAATAAGATTCTTCCTACCCATGTGTTCGCATTTTGTAGCTTCATAATGCAGTCATCATTACCTGAAAAAGTTTAATGTAGGATACAGTAAGCCAAATCAGTTACACGTGGAAATAACTTGGGTTTAGCTGTCTGCCCCCTTCAGAAGTCCTCTATCTAGTCCAGTAATTATCTACTACATGAGTCTCTTCTATACTCCTCCTAACCAGTAGTGAACAACTTATGCTTAGACATCTGTGATTGTTACCTTGCTTTGTGTAGGGATCTGTTACAGAGTACAGGCATACTTTGTTTTACTGTGTTTCGCAGATATTGTGTATTTTACAAATTAAAGGTTTATGGCAACCCCACGTTGAGCAAGTCTATCGGTGCCATTTTTCCAAGTTGGCGTTTTTTAGCAATAAAGTATTTTTTAATTAAAGTATGTGCATTTTTTTTAGATATAATGCTATTGCATACTTAATAGACTACAGTATAGTGTAAACATAACTTTTATATGCACCAAGAAAACAAAAAATTCATGTGACTTGTTTTATTGAGATATCTACTTTATTGCAGTGCTTTGGAACCAAACCCCCAGTATCTCTGAGGTATGCCTGTAGTCTGTTTTATCTTAAAGCTCAGGATATAGCAGAACCATCAGTTTCCTTGACTGGATCCTCAGCTACTGTTAATGCAACTTTAGATTGCATTCACTACTTCTGCACTGATGTCTGTGCTCAGATACCATCCATTTTTAATACTAATTAATAAAAAAAAGTCTACCCCAAGATCACGTAATATAACATAGATCCAAATTGAATTTTATATTTCCGCTTGCTGTAAAATGACTCGTGGGCGTACTTGCATATACTTGGTTGACTCTACATGCCCAAGAGGGACAAGTAAGAAATTAGTCCTACTTTCATTAAAATTGGGTCAGACTTACACTTATTCACCTTCCTCCTTGCTTGACCTTTGCATCATCTTTAGTACAGTCCTGTTATTGGCCTTGAGATCTAACTGGGCAGTACTATCTGGGGCGAATTCTATTCAGAAATTTCTCTTATGTGATATGTACATAGTAGATATGCATAATAACTCATTTGTCCAAATTTTAGTGTCCACAAAATATACTTTTGAGTTAAACTATATGTAGTTATAGTAGTTGCCTTAGGTATGTACACTTTTATTTATAAAGCCATATTAGTTTAAGGAAACCTCATCTATATATGTTTGAAAATCTGTTTCACCAGGCAGCCAAGATACCTCGAGTTACATGGAAATGTTTCTAGCAATCTACTTTTGCCCTTATCCCCAGTCACAGACCCTAGGGACTAGGAAGTTGAGTAAAAGTATCTGAAATCATCGGGTTCCCTGCCTACCCCCGCTCCCCCCCACCCCCTATCTAATCAATAGAGCCTGTGGGGCCCGGATAGTCAGCCGACCAGAGGAGCTGAGAGAAGATGATGTTGGGACAGGAGCAGGCCTGTTGGAAATCAAGAAAATTGGAGATGAGTACTTTACATTCATCACTGAGTGCAAAGACCCCAAGGCCTGCACCATTCTCCTTCGGGGGGCCAGCAAAGAGATTCTCTCGGTGAGTCAGCCTTGGAAGTGTGACTGAATGGACTAGGTCTCAACTCCGTTGAGAGTTTCCCAGAGGGCCTAAAATCATCCTGCTGCCCATTTTAGATATTTAATTTTGATCTATAGCCACAGGTATCTCGCTTGTTTTTTTTAATATTTTTATTTATTTTTTTGACATTTTAAGATATTTGAGTAAAGTATAAAATACATACAGAAAATGTAACCATCATATTTATGTAGCTTGATCTCTTTTCACCAACTGAACATACCCATGTAAGCAGAACTCAAATGAAGAAACAGAAATTTACCAGTACTCCAGAATCCTCACTCCTATTATCTTCTGCTCATTATCACTCTCAAGACTAACCACTGTCCTTAGCTCCAATAGATGAGATCAGGTTTGCCTGTTTTGGGACAACAGAAAGCTATTTCCTGAAAATTTCAAGTTAGATGTGCAGCACGGATGGCAGGGATTTTGTTTGTTTATAGGGTGGGATATGGCTGTTCTACTCTAGGCAGTCATTCAAGAGATTCAACTTTATTGAGGCTCTGCCATCTTCAGCATGTATTTGTAGTCAGCCAGCAGATGAAGGAAGAGACAGTAGTGGATTGCATGGGGGGTTTTATTGCTAGGCCTGGAATTGATTTTCATAATTTCCATTTCTATTTCATTGAAAAGAACTCAGTTATATAGACACACCAAAACGCAAAAAAGTGAGGATGTCTAGTCTAGATGAGTATCCAACAGGAAACGTTTTATGAAGACCAGTGTCTGCTACAGCTGCCATCATTCTAATCCAGTCTACCATTGCCTTCCACCTGGTCTTAAAAATAGCCTGTAGGAGGCCTCCAAATAATCTTTGCTTTCTTCCCTCCAATCCATTTTCTATAGAGAAGATAAAATTATGTTCTCTAAAATTTAATTCAGATTATTTTACTTGTTTTTTAAAATTGTCATGAAACGTAATTGAATTGCAGATAATGAGTGGCCAGCAAAGAATCCTTGGTATAGCTCTGCACTACCTCGTCTGTCTTCATGCCCTTCTAATCTTTCCTTATTACTCTGTCAGTTGTAACACAATATTTTTACTTTTAATTATGGTAAAAAAAAAAAAAAAAAAACATAAAAAATTTACCATTTTAACCATTTTCAAGTGTACAGTTCTGTAGTGTTAAGTATGTTCACATACTTGAGCAGCAGATCTTCAGAACATTTTCATCTTGCAACTGAGACACTATACCCATTGAACAGTGACTCATGATTTTCCCATCCCCCAGCAACCACTGGTTCCTTATTTTTTAAGTTGAAATTACACTTATTACTTTCTTTTCCCTCAGTGAGGTTAAGTAACTTACCCAAAGACACATAGCTAGTAAGTAGGAGAGAGCTTCCACTACACCACGCAGCCTCCTAAAGGGCACAACTAGGACAGGGCAAAGTAGGGTATAGCTCCGCCCAGCTTCACAGAGTGATACCTCCCCCATCCCCCACCCTGGCCCTCTTGCAATTGTAGTTAATGTGTTTTTCCAAGGTAAATAGCATCTGCCCTGCTCAATAGAGGTTCCAGGGACCTTTCTTTGTTGCCCTCCTTGGTGGTTTACAGAACTTGGCAGTCAGTAAGTCCTTTGGTGCCTCTGATTTGTCCCAGAGTAATCAAGCTTTGGCTTCATGCTGTTTGTTTGCTTTCCCAAGGAAGTAGAACGCAACCTCCAGGATGCCATGCAAGTGTGCCGCAATGTTCTCCTGGACCCTCAGCTGGTGCCAGGGGGTGGAGCCTCTGAGATGGCTGTGGCCCATGCCTTGACAGAAAAATCCAAGGCCATGACTGGTGTGGAGCAGTGGCCATACAGGGCTGTTGCCCAGGCCCTAGAAGTCATCCCTCGTACCCTTATCCAGAACTGTGGGGCCAGCACCATTCGTCTACTTACCTCCCTTCGGGTGAGTTCCTTTCCATGCTGTTCTTTTGATGGAGTAGGGAAAGCTTTGTTTGGCCTAAGAGCATCATTGGTGTCTGTCTGTGTGGGTTCTCCTTATAGGTTTTTCCCCGTAAAATCTCTCCTCTCTGTTAATTTTTGACTTGTTTGCTGTCATTGCCATGTTCTCTTACCCTTCCTTATTAATCCACTATTTTTGGTTTAGTTTTTTACCTAATGTTCCCTGCCAGCTTACCTGTTCCTAGTATTTTTCCTTTGACTATTTATGTTTGTTCCAACTACAGGCCAAGCACACCCAGGAAAACTGTGAGACCTGGGGCGTAAATGGTGAGACAGGTACTTTGGTGGACATGAAAGAACTGGGCATCTGGGAGCCACTGGCTGTAAAGCTGCAAACATACAAGACAGCAGTGGAGGTGAGGTTCCCTAAGACATATGCTATGCTGTTTATTTCCAGATAACCAGACATCAGTGTGTTTGGTCCAGTCCTGAAGGGAGAAGTTATAGAAGGCAGAGTATTCTCCAAAGGTCTCCCAAGGAATTCCATCCCACTACTGTTCTTTAGCTGATATAAACAGCAGTAATAATAGCACAAGTTGCATCCTTTGCCTAGGGAGAACTGCATTTTACATTCAAGACTCTGAAAAGGTAGATTTCAGATAAAATGGTAATTATTTAGGATGAGCTAGATGATATATCTAAAAGAAAACAAATGTCCTTCCCTTCTCTGCTGATTTCTTTGGGGCTGTGGTTTTTCTCCTAGACTGCAGTTCTGCTGCTGCGGATTGATGACATCGTCTCAGGCCACAAAAAGAAGGGCGATGACCAGAGCCGACAAGGTGGGGCTCCTGATGCTGGCCAGGAGTGAGCGGTGGGCAAGGCGACCTCAACGCACAGAGCCAGCAGTCTCCCCCTCCGCTGAGCCAGACTGCCAGGGACACTGTGGATGTCTTTGTTTGGAAGGGATCAGGTTGAGGGGCAGCCCCAGTCCCTTTCTGTCCCAGCTCAGTTTGCAAAAGGCACTGACATGTAATTCTTCTCTATTGTAAGCGTTGCATTTAGTTTGCTTCCGATGATTAAATCTAAGTCATTTGAGACAGTTGTTATGTGTTTTTCAACCTTGGGTCATATCTCTGCCTTCTGGCAGAGAGAGGAGGCAGAAAACCGCATTGGGGAGGCGGGGAGATGGGAATGAGGTCATTAAGTCTTTGCCTTCTTGAAGGGAAATTCTTCAGACTTCTCAGTAGATGCCGGTTAGGGAAACTCAAAATTCAAAAGAAGACACTGTAAAGCTTTAAAGAAGCACCACTTTGCACTCACCACCCAAAGAACAGGAGGAACCTGTCCAAACCCTGGGTGTTCCCCATCTGTGGTTGTTCCTAGAGCAACACCCAATATATGCTATGGCTCAGGCATTTATCGTAAAGAACATAGAACATCTCTTTTTTTGTATTGTATCCTGTGGCTTTCAGAATCCTTCCTATCTCTTTCTCTGCTCTCTCTCAGTGTTCTTCCTGATTCCAGTCTATATTCTGGCTTGCTGGCTGATTGTCGTGGTATGCTTATGTGTCACGATCAGACCTCTGCTTTCCCTGTTAGCAGAAACAAAAGATTTAAGTCTCATTTTGTGCTTTGTTTTTATCAAGGGAAAAAATCTTGAGTAGTGGCCCTGGGATGCTGGAGGCTAGGTGGGGCTAGCCTTCGATTTCTTCCGTGTCCTTCCTCTTGGCTACTGGGACTTCCACCATCCCCCTGTCCTTATGATTCATATAATCAGCCTATATCTCCTCCCTAACCGCAGGACTTAGTCATATTAAGTTGAATACTAGGCAGAACAATAATAGCTAACACATAGTGCCTACTGTGTAGTAGACATGTTCTAGTCACTTTGCATATAGTAACTAATCCTCACAACCAGCCTCTAAGATAGGTAGTATCCCTCATTTTATGATGGGGAATCTAAAGCACAAATAAAGCTTGTCCAAGGGTCACAAAGCTGGTGAGTGGCAGACCTGGAATTCCTATGTAGGCAGTCTGGCTCTAGAAGCCATTCTTTTATAGCTGGCTATGCTGACTGAACTGAGGTGTGAGGTGGAAAAGGGCGTGTGAGAGGGCCTCTGGAAACTTTCTGCTGTGAGCATACCTAATATTTAGCTTCCTGCTTAGCCCAGTCTGAAGTCCTCAGCTTTTCGTCTTCTACAAGGGGCTCTGAAATAAGCCTACTTACCTTTTGCTGAAATCTGCCTTTTTACATGCAGTGTTAATAATTCCCTCAGAGCTTTAAGACCTTAGAGAAGGATAATGGGTTAATTCTCAAATAAATAAGTAAAAGATCTTGAAGAAATAGTGCTTGTAAGATCTGAGAAATTGTGGATGGAGGAAGCAAGTCACGCCCTGTGGATTCTTGCCTCCCATTTGTTCCTTACTCTTCTAGGTCCATTCTGGTTGCAGCTCTAATGGTTAAGCACTTGGATAATTGTACACAGTAGTCTTCCCTGCTGTCATCAGTGCCTTTTTTCTTTAAGCACCTGCAATGTCTCCTGAACCTGTGGAAATCCCTTCTAGCCTGTTAGATCAACCTGTACTAGCCAGTCTAGCTTTCAAAGCCCCTTTGTGCTGTCCAAAGCCTAAATTTACCATAGTGATTAAAGGCTACTCAAGCCAGTTTTTCTAGTGCCTTGCATGAACTCTAATCACAAAATCGAGTGATTCCATGAGCACGGTTTTGCCACCTCCTTGACTTTTCTTATGCTCCTACTGTCAAACTCCTCGATTCAGTGAAGTTCTGTTTTTCCCCCCATCAAGCAGTATTTTTGGGGTGAGGAAGCTTGAATTACTGGCTACTTAAACTCTCAGTACGCAGCCAAGACTCTTGTTTTTATTCTCTCTTATCAGGTCCCAGAGTTGATACCTCAGAGGATACAAGTACTTTTTTTTTTTTTTTGTGAGGAGATCAGCCCTGTGCTAACATCTGCCAATCCTCTTTTTTTGCTGAGGAGGAGGCTGGCCCTGGGCTACATCTGTGCCCATCTTCCTCCACTTTATATGGGAGGCCGCCACAGCATGGCTTGCCAGGCAGTGCATCGGTGCATGCCCGGGATCGGAACCGGCGAACCCCAGGCCACCGCAGAAGAGCGCGTACACTTAACCGCTTGCGCCACCGGGCCGGCCCCCCACAAGTACTTTTTTTCTCAAGAAAAATGAAAGTTTGAGGAAACTTGAGTTCATCCTAGAGTAGCCATTTGGGAAAAAGATGAAATTGGTTCTCTACTTCATGCATTACAGCAAAATTACTTCTAGGCAGGTTTAAATAAAAGAAAGTGAAACCAGGGTCCGGGCTGGTGGTGCAGTGGTTAAGTGTGCATGCTTCACTTCAGCGGCTCAGGGTTCGCAGGTTTGGATCCCCGGTGCGCACTGACGCACCTGTTATCAAGCCATGCTGTGCCAGCATGTAAAGTAGAGAAAGAGAAGCATGGATGTTAGCCCAGGGCCAATCTTCCTCAGCAAAAAAAAAGGATCGGCATCGGATGTTAGCTCAGGGCTGGTCTTCCTCACACACAAAAAAAGTGAAACCAAATGACTGTAGAACATGAAGAAACGCTTAACCATATTCATAGGGAAATGAAAATTAAGTTTGGTAAACACTTGCAAGCTTGTGGGGAAATGGGCCCTCAAACACATGGTGTGAGTGTCAACTGATAAACCTCATATAGAGGACAATTTGACCTGGATATTTATCTTCTGGATTTGGTTACAAATATGTATGAAATGCTGTAGGTACAGGGATATTCCTCTCAGCGTTGTTTGCCATAGCAAAATGTTGGAAACTATCAAAGTTCCTGCTAAGTATATCCATGGAACATCCTCCTGCATTGAAATACTTCTGTGAAGGATGAGACAGCTCCAAGTGCATTAATCGAGAACAGTCCTCAATATGCAAGTGAAAAGGCAAACTGCAGAACAGTGTTTAGATGCCATTGTATGGTATTACATATATGTGTATATACATATTATATGTATTATGTAATATGTGTGTATATGTGTATTATATATATTCTTGAGTATGCATAGAATATCCTTGGAAGGATACATAAGAAACTGGTAATAGTGGTTGTCTCAGGGAAGGACCCAGGTTGCTGGGGAATAGGGGTGATGCCCTTTGGTGCCTTATGAATTTTGTACCATATGCATTTATTATTAGTCAAAATAATGTTAAGATTAAGCAAAAAAAACCCAAGAACAACAAAATGCATTCATTCAGCCAGGCATGAACTCCCCTTTTTGACAAATATATGTATTGCTCTCATATCCTATCTTCTGTGGTATCTTTTCTCCACAATAAAATTGTGAGCTCTTCCAGGACAAGAACCTGCATACCTGGAGGCTCAATAAATATTAATAATTGACAAAAAGAACCCTGTGGGGTGCACTATCTCCCCCATGGAATTCCTTCAAATTCCTTTCTGTGCCTTCCCTACCACAGAGTCATTTTATTAGGATCCCATTTGGATCTTGAATCCAGAGATAATGCCCACTTACAGATAACTGTTCAGTGGGACCGGTTGGATAGGAGAGGTTGGAAGTATGTCCGCGTATGTATCTAGTGTGGGATGTCTTGCTTGCCAGCCCAGTTGGAGATGACGAACTCCTAACCTTTTCTGATTTTCTTCTCTCTCAAGCCTAAATCTGAGTTAAGGGAGGAGGTCTCTTTAAGAACTGGTGTGATGGCCCCGCCCTTTAAAGAGATCAGCTGAATCAGTGAGTCACATGACTCCAGTGTCTCTTCCGCCCTCTCAAGTTGGGGCTGCATGTGCGGCTGTGAGGAGCCCCGCTGGGGTTCCGGGCATTGTGCCCCCGGCCCCATGCTCCTCCTGAGTCTACTTCTGTCTGCAGCCCCATTTGGCCTGCTGGGGGAGGAGACCCGCCAGGTGAGAGGCTAGAATAGATATTTCAGGAAAAGTTACCCTTACAGGGTGGTTTGAATCTAGGGCAGCCAATGTTGGGGGGGGTAGGGAGTGGCTGCCTAGAGAAGACTTCTTCAGTCGGGGTGGGGAGCAGCCATGGGTCATGGGACAGAATTGTGGAGTAGAGCGAATGTGAGGGCTTCCTGTCTCCCGGTGAAGTCTGGACCCTGACTCAGCCCTAAGTGACCCAGATCCAGGCAAGCGTTGGATTTTTTTTTCCTCTCAGCCCCGTGCCCTGATTTCTTCTCCAAGGTCAGGGCAGTTCTGGCTCTACCCACCTCTCCTCCACCCCACCTCTGCCCCTTACACCAGGATTCCCTTAGCTCCCACACACATCCTCTTGCCTAGGCCCCCAAGGTCCCACCCTTTCCCCATCACGTCCCAAGCCCTCTCTCCCTCACTGCAAGCTTCTTTGCTCTGTGTCTCTCCCTGATCCTGTTCCCTTGATCCTCCACTACTTCATGTTCTAGGTGTCTCTGGAGGTCATCCCTGACCGGCTGGGCCCTCCCAAGAACCTGCTTCATGTTCGGGCAGTGGGTACCAACTCTACGCTGCACTATGTGTGGAGCAGCCTGGGGCCTCCAGCAGTGCTGCTGGTGGCCACCAACACCCCCCACAGCACCCTGAGTGTCAACTGGAGCCGCCTACTCTCCCCTGAGCGTGATGGAGGCCTGATGGTGCTCCCCAAGGACAGCATCCAGTTTTCTTCTGCCCTTGTGTTTACCAGGGTGAGGAGGGTGGGGGAGAACCAGGTGGAAGAATGCAGAGGAGAGAGTTCATCTGAATTAGAGGGAGGAACTGAAGACGGGGGGTGAGTGAAGCAGAGGCAGGTATGAGCGCCTGGGGGTGGGCCAGTGAGTGGGGGGTGGTGATTCAGGAGAAAGCTGGACTCTGGCAAGCCCAGTCCCACCCCACCCCTACCCGCCAGCTGTTTGAGTTTGACAGCACCAACACATCTGATGCAGCAGCAAAGCCTCCAGGAAAACCGTATCCTCCATATTCCTTGGCCAATTTCTCCTGGAACAACATCGCTGATTCATTGGATCCTGCCACCCTGAGTGCTACATTTCAAGGCCACCCCATTCACGACCCCACCAAGGCTTTTGCCAATGGCAGCCTGGCCTTCAGGGTAAGGGTATGGGGAATCAGAAGAACTCAAAAGACTGGTTTATGAGGGTGGGATTTAATGATGGGGGTGGCCTCCAAGCACAGGCATTCACCTGCTTCCCATACCTCCCATGCCTACTCCGTCCTAGGTGCAGGCCTTCTCCAGATCCGGCCGGCCAGCCCAACCCCCTCGCCTCCTGCACACAGCGGACACCTGCCAGCTAGAGGTGGCCCTGGTTGGGGCCTCTCCCCAGGGTAACCGCTCCCTATTTGGGCTGGAGGTAGCCACCTTGGGCCAGGGCCCTGACTGCCCATCAGTGCAGGAGCAGCACTCCATCGATGATGAATATGCACCTGCTGTCTTCCAGGTCAGGCTTCCAGCGGAGAGGCAGATGGGTGGGGGAATGTTGGGGGACCCCGTTAGAACCTCAGAAAATCATTAACCCATTTACCATTTAGCAACACTTTATTCAGCTCCTTTAAGTGCTGGGCACTGTGCTAATGAATTTGGCCCAGACTCTGCCCTCAATGAGAAGACAGACAGAAGGCAGTTCAGTGTGACTAGTGCTCTGACAAGTGGGATCTGCAAGGGCCTGGGGGCTCAAAGGAGGGAGCTGAGTGCAGGCTTGCAGAGTGTCCAGGCTGGAAAAGGATGCAGTGCTCATCCGGTTCAACTCCCATTTCTACAGAGGAGAGATTGAGGCCCTAATGCAAATAGCCTGTGAGTTCTAGAACCAGGCCTAGGACTCAGGCTGACTAGTGACAGATGGAGGCTGGGAAAGGGTAGGGGAACAGAGTGGTCAGGCACAGGTTGGTCCTCCTCACTCTGCCTGTTTGCCTTTCTCCCCAGTTGAACCAGCTGTTATGGGGCTCCCTCCCATCAGGCTTCGTGCAGTGGCGACCAGTGGCTTTCTCCCAGAAACAGAGGGGCCGGGAATCAGCCCTGCCCTGCCAAGCTTCACCTCTTTACCCCCTCACCTTGGCGTACCTTCTCCCCCAGTCACCCATTGTCCAAGCCTTCTTCGGGTCCCAGAACAACTTCTGTGCCTTCAATCTGACATTTGGGGCTTCCACAGGCCCTGGCTACTGGGACCAACACTACCTCAGCTGGTGAGAGTTAGGGCCTGGGCAAAGGCTTTGGGAGGTTGAAGTGGAGGAGGGCTGGGCCTCTCAGCCTTCCCTCCTAATCCTGCTTACCTCTCTTTCTCACTCTGCTTGCTCTAGGTCGATGCTCCTGGGTGTGGGCACCCCTCCAGTAGATGCCTTGTCCCCATTAGTCCTAGGCATCATGGCAGTGACTCTGGGTGCTCCAGGGCTCATGCTGCTGGCAGGAGGCCTGTATCTGCTGCTGGGCCACAAGCGGTATTCAGAATACCACCCCATAAATTGAGGCCCATTCTCTAGAGGGAAGGACATCACTGGACCTGCCTTGCTGGTCTAAAGGTTTGAGGGTCAGTGTTCCCGGCCAGCTGCTCCCTTCTCCCACCTTGCTTTTCTGCAGAACCGCAGAGACAAGCCTCAACTTCCTGGGGACCCCCCAGGTGGAGCTTCCTTCATATTCTGGGGAGGGACCAAGGACAGGGTCATTGCTGGAGGGATGGTCCCCTTGGTGTTGCCTCCTGCCCCTCCACCCCCCATTTCCCTTGAATGGGACTCATAGGCCTTAATGAGAGGCCTTATGACTGGTTGGTTGCCCTGGAGCATGAAATAGACTTATTTTTTTTCCACAGGGCTTGTCTCTCAGTGTGTGAGTGTTGTTGGGCTGGTTCCAGGGAATGAGAGGGCTAAGAGGTGGGCATGGAAGGCCCCATTTCCTCACCAGGCCTAGTTCTCTCCTTTGTGGTGGGACCAGGCCCCAGCAGCCACTCTCCATCATATAGATCTGGGAGGTTTCTGGTGCAGTCTGACTCAAACAAGGAAGGGACTCTTGAGACTGGGGGGCAAAGATGCAGGAAGAGCCGAGGAAGACTGGTAGTCATTTATTGTTACACACACACACACACTCACATGGGGTTCACGTCAGCCACTATGCCTTCTAACCACCCAGCCACCACATGCATGGACATCCCCACACACACACAAAAACATACACACACACCCCTCCATGGGAGGCAGGTTTCCCTGTCCACTCCTCTTCCCATGGGAGAGGCATGACTTCTGGGCAGTTTGGAGGTGGGAAGTTACAGGGGCCTAAATTGGTTGGAAGGGAAGAGGCTGTTAGCAGCTCTGGGCTGGGGCAGCTGTAACCATCTTAACTGAGGCTAAAGGGCCTATGAGGTCCAGTCGTGGAGGGCCCTGAACCCAAGCCCCCAGGAAGGTTTTCACCAAGTGTGAAAGTTCTATTTGATCTGATGCCCACCCTCTCTCTTTAGGCGTGGGCAGTACTTCCAGTCTCCTTGAGGCCCTCTACTTAGACAATGAGCACAGAAATGGTCCAAGTTTTGGCTGTGACTCTGCCTGCTGCCTCACAGGAGGCTGGAGAGTGGAGCAGATTCCAGCAGTGGTGGGCCCTACTGGCAGTGCTGGGGGGCTGCTCAGGAAGGAATCATGTCTCTGCTCCTGGTCCTGGCCCCGTGCCCTCAGCATCCTTATGGGACATGGCTGCCCTCTTCTTTCCCTGCAAGAAAACGGTCTAAGTGCCCCCCTCACGACTATCTCCCCTCCAAAGGTGAAGGGCAGCGCCGACTGGGGGAGAGGAGGGGACAGTCCCTGCTCTGATTGGATAGGATCCCTGTTGGGCAGTAGTGAGGTTTGTCCCACTGAGAATCCGGGGCAGGGGGCAAGAGGCTGGAGTGGCTCAGCCCCAGGGGCGGGGCCTGTAGTCCGAAGCTGAGCGGGCGTGGTCGGGGTAGCCCAGGCGGCTCTCCGCGGCAGTGAGCATGCGCTCCGGCTCCACCACGAACATGTAGTAGAGGTTCCACACCAGCATGGACAGCAGGGGCAGGAACGTCAGGCCATAGCCAAAGCCTCGGAAGGAGCGGCCCACAGCGAAGGTCAACCAGTATATCAGCCTAGGGGGGGCAAGAAAGAGGTCGGGCTACCTTTGAGGGAAGCAGCCAACTGGCAATAGGCTGATGGTGGGGAGAACAGAGAGCTAAGGGAGGGGCTGGTGGGTACTGCCCAGGCTTCCAAAAACAGCCAATGCTCATGCACTTATCATGTGCCAGGCACGGTGCTAATTACTTTAGGGGCACTATTTAATTTAGACCTCCCCATATCTCTATGTGGTGAGTATATTATTCCCCTCTTTTATTTGTTTATTTTTAAAATTTTAATTAAAATTTTTTGAGTAGGCAATATATATTCATATGTTTCAAAATTCAAAGGTATTGATGAGTATAGTAAAATGTCTTCCCCCCTTACTGATTCTCAGCCACCCTCTTCTCTTCCTTCACCTCCACCTCCACTCCACTCCCACCCTAGGCATCCAGTATTATGGTTTCTTGTGCATCAAGTGATGTTTTATGCATATGTGAGCAAGAAGATGTTTTCTTTTTCCCCCTTTTGTGAAGTATGGTAGCATGTTGATTTTTTTTTTCCACCTAATATATCTTGGAGATTACTGTATATGAGTATATAAACAGCCTCATTCTTTTATAGCTGCAGTACATTCCATTGTATTTATTGCCTCGTTTGCAGGTGAAGAAACTAAGATTCCAAAGGGATTAAGTAAGACTGGTCCAAGGTCACACATCTGGGGAATAGTAAAACTGTGATTTGAACCCAAGCCTGTTCACCACCCCCTCCCTGCCATTTTAGATGGGCAGAGGGAAAGAAGAGTAAGGAAGCAAGGGCTTGAAGCCCAGAGGGATGGATCAGCCACAATCAAATCTCCTCTCTTGGAAGATCCACTAAAATATACATCTCCCTGTGGGGGAGCACAGCAGCTTTCTCTTAATATCTGAAGGACCTTATTATAAAGGTGACAGGCCTCTGCTTTTTAGCTGTGAAATGGAGGGAAGAGTAACAACTGCTTCTCTACTGCTCCAGGAAGCAGCAGGCATAATAATAGTAACAGTTCACATTTAGTGAACCCTTCCCAAGTACCTTAAGCACTCTACATGAATTAGCTCATTTAAGTCCATTTTCTAGACGATGAAACAGACATGAAATGCTTAAGTAACTTGCCTATGGTAGAGAAGAAAGGACCCTGGATGACAGAGGGAAGGGACCTGGATTCTAGTCTGCCACTGCTGCTGACTGACCTGAGCAACCCTTCTCCCCGATCTGTTGTGATTTCTTCCCTGTAAAATGGGTAAGATGGACCAGACAATCACTGAGTCTTCCTTTAGCTCCCTGATAATTTGTACTGCTTAAGCCAACTTCTATCTGAGACCAGCATTCCCCAAGAGGGAGATGCGAGGTTGAGTTACATGAGCCAGAATATATTTATCTTGGGAAACATCTACTGGCAGAAAATGCAGGGCTGCATGATGGTCAGGAGGCTGGTGGGACAGATGACCACTAGACTACAATCAGAAGTGACAGGAAGACAGATTTTAGTTCAACAGGAAGAATGTTTTAGCAGTTAAACTACCTGGAATCCTATATCGAAAGTAACAAAAGGAAATGTATTAGGGAAAAAATGGAAAGACCTGCATTTGGCTTCAGAAACTCAAAGGTGCCTTCTGGGGTAACAGTAGTTCACTTAAAAACACCCCTAAGGGGCCAGCCCCGTGGCTTGGTGGTTAAGTGAGCGCGCTCCACTGCTGGCGACCCGGGTTCGGATCCCGGGCTCGCACCATCGCGCTGCTTCTCTGGCCATGCTGAGGCCGCGTCCCACATACAGCAACTAGAAGGATGTGCAGCTATGACATACAACTATCTACTGGGGCTTTGGGGGGAAAAAATAAATAAATAAAATCTTTAAAAAAAAAAAAAAAAAAACACCCCTAAGGATTTCAAGTGACTGTAAATTCTAAACGAAAGGAGAGTAATGAGGCTGCCATGAGAGCTAATGTGGCCTCGGTTTGTATGAACAGAAGGACAATACCCTTGACCAGGGTCCCGCCACCCCCCACCTTTGACAAGCAGGAGAATTTCCTTCCTAAAGGAATGGACCCAGGACAGTAAAGGGACCAGGGTCACTTAGCAAAGTAAACACTAGGGGAGCAGTGTGTTGGAGTAGGGGAATTGAGAGCTGTTGTCAAATATCTGCATTTGTCCTAGGCATTTCCAGAGGACAGAGTCAGGGCAGCAGGGTTGTTTTTGTTTGTTTTTTTGGGGTTTTTTTGGTGAGGAAGATTGGCCCTGAGCTAACATCTGTGCCCATCTTCCTCTATTTTGTATGTAGGACGCTGCCACAGCATGGCTTGATGAGCAGTGTGTAGGTCCGCGCCCAGGATCCAAACCCATGAACCCTGGGCCGTCGAAGCAGAGCGTGTGAACTTAACCACTACCCCACTGGGCTGCCCCGAAGTGCAGCAGTCTTTAGCACAATATAAAGAAGAACTTTCTAATAATTAAGACCTTTGAAAAATGAAACAGACTGCCTTATAAAGAATTGAGCACTTGGTCACCGGGGGTGTTCAACTAGAGGCTAATGGCCACCTGACCAGAGTGCCACAGAGGAGTGGCTGCAATGAGGGGAGGTTGGTCGACATGACACCTGAAAGCCCTTGCAGTTCTAGGTTGGTATATGTATCTCTGAAATCAACTTCCCTTGGGAAGACATGTGACTGATCACCTGCTACCAGGTGAGGTAAGGTGCAAGGCAGAAAGTGGACTCAGCTCTCCAGGGTGCACATTTGGGCTATTGCAGAATCCAGAAAGTTCCCTGTCTCTGGCCCTCCAGATATTCAGATGCCTGGGTCCCTCTAGCATCATCACCTCCCCTGTGCCCCACCCCCAGCCCCAACTCACCGGGAGATGGCAAAGAGACCGGTGAGCAGAGGAAGCAGTTTGAGGGTATCTTGGGGCAGGTAGGTGGAAAGCACGGCCAGATTGAAGAAGTAGAGGATGAAGAGCTGGACCGACTGGGCCACATATTGCCGGTGGATCTCCACCTCCCGCCGTGGCTCCCCAAAGGGCCGTAGGGCAGAAAAGCACAACAGGCTCAGCCCGTACACCAGGAGCCCTGGGTGGGGTTGGAGAACACATAAGTCAGAACAGGAGCAGTAGGCAGGAAGCTGGGGGCAGAATTCGTAATGGAAAGCTCATGGGTATGCGCCCTACACAGTGGGGCTGAGGTGATCCTGGAGGGAGATGGGCACACAGGGTGGCAGGGTGTGGGAGGCCCTGAGGGGGCTGGGCTGAGTGAAGGGAAACTCTCCTGCTCCCCAAGCCAGGCAGGCCCTGACCTCAAGTCCAGTTCCCAGACAGCCCCTTCCTTCTCACAGGGCCCAGGCTCACCCAGTATGATGGGGAAGGTGGCAAAGACCCCACAGCGCAGCGTGTAGACGAGGCGGGAACTCATGGTAGGCAGCCGTGGGGCATCGAAGGGCAGGAAGGCATATGCCCCGTACAGCAGACAGGGGAAGAGGATGAGGGCAGCTCCCACTGAGGCCACGGCCCTCAGCCCCTCTCGGCCCCCACAGCTCCCACAGCCCCCACAGGAGCGGCTAGGTGGCCTCACCACTGCTTCGGCCCACTTGCACTCAGAGGGCTCAGGGTGGGTGGCCCGGGTGGGCAGGAAGGTCCGGCGGTGCTCACCCTCGCCTGCCTCACAGCGCACGATGAGGTCCTCCTGGGGCCTCCGCTCAATGCACTGTAGGTCGATGGGCACGAAGGCCCGGGCTGCCTTCTCAGGAAGCAGGTTGACATCATCTTCAGGCAACTCCTCTAGCTTGGTGGGTGGCTCTGACTCAAGGGGCTCAGGCTCAATATCCCGCCAGCCAGGGGGATCCGGGAACGGGGCACTGGGCGGGGGGCCAGTCCCCCAGGGCAAGGTGGCAGCCTCACTTACTGTGCTGTCTAGACCATCCTCAGTCCCCTCTCTAGCTGTGGGAGACCCAGCTGAAGACCCTACTCTGGAGGACTCAGCTCCGGGGGACTCAGCCCCACCTTCCCCTTCTGGCTGCCGGCCATTGGGGACCAAGGCCTGGGGTGGGCTTTTCTCTGGGGCCTCAGGCCTCTTCACTTCCAGCAGGGCCAGGGTCTCGGGTTCTGTCATCCTGGGGCCTCACTTCTGGGGTCTACCGTGAGGTCACGTCACCCTGGAGAGAGCAGAGGAAAGCTCTGTCAGAAGCTCCTGTCCTCTAGCCCTTAGGACGGGTTGATAGAACTGGAACTCTCCAGGGAAGCTGGCCTCATGGGCTTTAGCCCCTTCTGGGACCTTAGAGAGAACATGGTATGCAGGAAGGTGTTGAAACAGGGGAAGGCGGAGGGAAGTGAGCAGCTGAAATGGAGGCACCCTTTCGACATCAAATGCCATCCAGCAGAGGGTGAGTCAAGGGGCACAGGCCCTGGCAGCTGTGGCCTCAGCCAGCCCCCACCCACGCTTTCTATCCCCCTCCACCAAAACCCCTGGGGTCATGGCCACCCTAATGCAGGAATGGGAGGAAGAGAAGATGTCTAGAATTTTGCCAAGAGCTTCCTTCCCACTAAGGATCTTGTGGACAGAGAAGCTGCCCCTTCACCTTCAAACCTCCCCTTCTCCCTGCAGTTCCCTGCTTGGAACTCTCCTGGCAAATGATACCAATGATTTGCCAACAAATCTGTCCCAAAGAGCTGGCAGTAGCAGTGTACCCTGTTCTTTTCTTCTCCAATCTGGTACTTGGTCAGTTTCCAAAGTCCTCACTAGCCCACCTCCTCCATCCCCGGAGGGCCTGGGTCTGTCCATTTTGACTTCTAGGTCTAATCACGGCTTTTTCCCATGCTGCCTCTCCTGTTTTCTCCCCTCCCTGCCATCCTCCATCTCACTGCTTCTGGATGGGGTTGATTCCCCTCCCACCACCTCCTCAAGAGCCTCCTACCTCTTGCCGCTTGGACCCATGACACCCTCTTATTTTCCATCTGGAGAGAGGCAGTGGGTCCCCAGTGTCCGGGAAGAAGCTGCCTAGCTCCCTGCTGGCACTGCAAGTGTTCCTCTCGGTGTCCCTCCCTTTACCTGTGTCTCCAAACCTGTCTGACCAGAGCAGGTGGGGCCCAGATTAAAGGGGCAGGGCCCGCCCTGCTGAATCAGCCGACAGAAAAAGCGTTAGAGGAGTCATCCTTTCTGAAAGGGGGGGGGCGCGGAATGTGCAGCTGGGCACAGAGGTAAATGTGTGTTCTAGGTACATGGGATGTGCAGGAGGTTCCAGCTCAGGAAACAGAGGGGGAAGAGTGGGTTTATGGATCCAAGGGTGTGTGGAGTAGGTTGAGATACCCAGAAAAGAGGTGAAATTTCTACACTTATTTGTTCACCTATTATTAGCTAGGCTCTATTCTAGGCACACAAGAGAGAACAAGATGACAGGCAAGGTCTCTGCCCTTAAGGAGCTTGTTCTATTGGGGTAACAGATAATAAAGAAGCCTAGCAGCTAAATAAGACAATTTCAGTAGGGAAAACCTCTTTGCCAAGGTGACATTCGAGCTGAGATCTGATGAGAAATCAGGAGTATGAGTGTTCCAGGCAGAGGAACAGCAAATGAAAGGCCAACGAGTGGGAAAGACTTAGGCTATGTCAGGAACAAAAAGAAGGTTGGTGGCTGGAATCAGGAGCATAGTGGTGGTGGTGGTATTTATGTTCCCATTACAGCATGTACACAGGCCCCCCCAAACACCTTGCCTTTTAGCTTAGGTTTAAGGTTAAGAAAGCAATAGGAATCCAAGGTGATCTTTCCAATGGGAGGACCAGGGGGCAGATACGTGAGGGAGTGACTTCTCATTCCTGTGGGACCTTATCTCTCAAGTCATTTAAGCTTTGTGAGGGCCCAGATGGTGTCTGGATTGCTCATCTCTGTGTCTCCAGAACCCAGCATCGTGGCTGGAAGACAGCAGGTGTTCAATAAATGTTTGCTGGACTGGTGAGAGATGGATATGCAAGTGGAAATCTTTGGGGGCGAGGGAGCTGAAGGGCCAAGATGCTAGTACAAGAGTCATGTCTTAGAGGGCCTTACCCTTAAGTTATGCTTGGCCCTTTCCAAGGAAATTTTCACATACATGTTTTTTTGTTTGTTTAAATAATGGAAAAAGGGGAGAACTGAAATCACTCTAACCAATAATCTGAAAGAGGCTCGGCTCATATTGGGGGGGAGGGGTGAAGGGGCAGCAGGATGGACCAAATGACCACTGTAGGACAAAGCAAAGTCACGCTCCTAGCTGGGAGCCCATCTGCCCCATGGGAGCCCATCTGTCCCATCCACCTTAGCTTCAGCCCCCTCACTGAGTCCACTGTCCGTTCGCTGGCACCTTTGTCAATAAAGTTTTTCGCAAGTGCTCGGAGAAGCCGGAAAGAGGCCATGCTGCCCAGAGTTAGTTCTGGCAACTTCCCGGGAGGGAAAACTAATTTCGCGAGATTTAGCAGCAGCAGGCCACTGGCCCGCAACTGTGCAGCTGCTATCGCGAGATTTGGCCGGCGGAGGAGGAGCTGTCGCGGGCAGCCGCCTCACAGCGATGGCGGCCGAGCAGGGCCGGCGGCGGTGGCGGCTGCGGCTACGGCCGGAGACAGCAGTGGTGGCGGCAGTGGTGGGTGGTGGGGGCCTGTGACCGGGAGCCGCCCCCGGACTTGGGCACCATGAGCCAAGGGCCCCCCCCAGGGGAGAGCAGCGAGCCCGAAGCAAAGGTCCTCCACACTAAGCGGCTTTACCGGTGAGAGGGGCCGGGGCGTAAATGCAGCCGCTGAGCGAAATAGGGGGACAGCGAGGGGCGGGGCCTCCGGGGCGGGCGGGGCCCCGGTGCCGGGCTGGGGTGCGAGGGAGGAGGGTGCAATTTTGGAGGAAGCAGGGGGGGCGGGGCCCCGGCGGGGCCCCGTAACCCGAGATGGAGTTGAATGAAGGAATTGGGTGGGTGGGAGGTTTGGAGGGAAGCACGTGGAGGAAGCCCCTCCGCAGTGAGCTTGGGGCGGGCACCGAACTTGACGGATTTGGGGTAAGAAAGTGAAAATTGAGGGCTGCAGAGGTTGGGAAGGTGAGGGTGGGGTCACAGATGGAGAAAAACCCGGAAGGGAATGGTGCTTAGAACCTTGTAGGATTTACGGGGAAGAGCCCTGGACTGAAATCAAGAGAACCAGGTTCAGATCCTTGCTTTGCCACTCTCACTGTGTGACCTTGGGCCTCAGTTTCCTCATCCTTAAAAGGAGAGATTTGAATTGGATATGCTCTGAAGTCTCTTATGACTCTAAGTTTTGGGAATCTGAATGAAAAGAAAGAGGCTGGAAGACTAGATGTGTTAGACTGGAAGGGCCAGGAAGGACTTTGAGTCCAGAGTGTTCTTAGGTCATGGATGCCCAGTTCAGGGCAGCTGGGGACTTCTAAGTCCTCCCTGCCTCCCAGCCTCATGACTACAGTCTCCTGCCAGGCAGCTTACATTCCTGGTTTCTGATTTCCACAGTGCCACTCACACTCCTTAAGTCACGTCTTCAGCTCTTCAACCCTTTGTTGGGAACAGGCCAGTATGAGCTTTTCCCACCCTGGGTTGAGGATTTTTTGTGTGGGGCAACTGGAACATGGGCTCTAGAACTGGGTCAAAATAGGATGAAGCACAGAGACCAAGTTGAGTTTTTTGCTTTCTAGTAGGGAGTAGGGTTTGAGTTTTCCTTTAGCTCAAGCTCTATAGAACAGAGGTGTTTGCATGAGAAGACCACCCTTAGAGCCATGGGCCCAATTTTGGCAGTGAAAGAGTCAAGAGCATGTTGTCTTTTCCTCTCTTGAGTAGGCATCCTGCCTTCTCTGGCTTATTAAGCCAGAAGGCAGAGGGGAGTATAGGCTGCTCCAAAAATAGAAAAGTGATCCAATCCAGCAGCCCCTGGGTTCCCACTGTGGGCTGCCCCAAGCCGTCTCCGGGCGGGTGAGGAGTTGACTGAGGGTGGCACGTGTGCCTCGTCATGCTGCCAAGTGTCAGCGCTGCCTGTCAGACAGCGTGGGCAGTGTCTGCAAGATTCCTTCCTTGTCTCCAGCTTTGGGTAATGGCTCTGGTCATCCTTCTAATCATTCTCAAGTCTAGTTCTTTCTGAAGCCACTACCTTCATGGGACTGACTGACTAAAGCTGATGTGTTTGCATGTATGTTCACATGGGCATCTCTGCCTGTGATTGTGTGTTGTTGGCTTTGAGCAGGGTGGAAATTTGAGGCAGCAGGTCTCTGTTTTTGTTGTTTACTATCGCAATGGTGATTGGTAGAAGGAACTGGGGAAGGAAGGTCTGATTTCTCTGCCCAAGATAGATGTGTTAAGACTACGAAACTGTCACTCTGAGCTTCAGTAAATTTGGGAAATTCCCACAATCTGTTTACAGAAATGAAATTCTGAAATGTGTTAAGCCCCTCAGAAGAAAAAGCAGCAGGAGAGAGGATGCCGGAAGGGACACAAGCACCAATTAATTAGTTAACCCAATTAACCATTTTTTTTAAACAGTGTTTGTTTTTTTTTTTTTTTTTTTTAACACTGTGCCAGGCCTGGGATTACAATAGTGAGTGAGACACAAGACTAGTTTTATAGTTTTTCTTCTAAAGGAGGTTACAGTTTAGTGGAGGAGCTTATTGTCTGATGGGGAATGGAGAAAAAAGTGCTGAGTCCTTTCAGGTTTAAGAATTTGCAATTAGAACTTACTAGAGGGCCGGCCCTGTGGCTTGGTGGTTAAGTGCGCGCGCTGCGATGCTGGTGGCCTGGGTTCGGATCCCGGGTGCGCATCGAGGCACCACTTCTCCGTCCATCCTGAGGCCGAGTCCCACATACAGCAGCTAGAAGGATGTGCAGCTATGACATACAACTATCTACTGGGGCTTTGGGGGGAAAAAATAAAATAAATAAGATCTTAAAAAAAAAAAAAAAAAAGAACTTACTAGAGTAGTGGTTATTAACCTTTTTTGGATCAAGAATCTAAGGAGAGCTCTGGAGCCTGTCCATAAAAATACACACACCCCCCGCCTTAGATCTATCTGTGGCACTGAAGTTAAGACTGCTGCTCTGGGGACTCAGCTGGCATAGAGTAAATCACTGATGGCTGCCTGATGCTGCCTCTGGCAGCGAGGGCCAGGCTGGCCAAAAGGGCTTGGCTCCCCTCTCCAGGCAGCCCAGAACGTGTTTGGAGAAATGCTGAGCTCTCAAGATTGCCTGTGAGAAGGCCTTGATTGCCATCCCACCCACTTAGCTGGGTGCTGGCGCTCCCTTTGCCCTGTACGGGCGGCTTTTAGTGGTGTACCACCTGAGCCACCACGGGATGCTAGCCTGTTGTGGCCCGCTTTCCCAGGCCTAGGAGCACGTGTTTCAGTATTCTGAAACAATCTTGGAGTGTTTGGGGAATCATCTCTCCCTGTTTTTTGGTTACTATTGTGTCCAGAGCTATGCCTGATCCACCTGTTCTCACACTTGCTGTTTATCCTCCTCCGGGTTTTACCCTCCAGAGATGACATCTATCTCTGGCACTTCTTAGCCATCCATTGTAGTTTCCTTGGTCTTTTCTCTTAGTGTCTGGAGTCTCCTCCTCAGCCTTATAACAAGAAGGATGGAGACTAATACTTACTGAGCATTTACTATGTACGAGGCACTGTTATGGGTGCTTTATGTTTTAGCTAATTTAGTCTTTACAAAGTAGGTGATAATGTTATTCCCATTTCATAGATGGGAGAACTGAGACATAAGGAAGTTACATATTTTGCCCAGGACCACATAGCTGGTGAGAAGTAGAGCCAGGATTTGAACCCCAGTAGTCTAGTTCCAGAGCCTACACTCTATATTAAACAGAGTTCCTTCAGCAGAATCCAGGAGACCTTACAACTCGCAGCTCGGGAACTCCCTCCCCCTACTTTCCCATACCCCACTATTCCAAAGCAGAATTTTATACTAGGAACGCCTTTCCTTTATGTCAGACATAAGCCGTTACATAATAATAATACATTCATTCCACCATTGTTTATTGAATGCCTACCATATATCCATGCTATATATAAATTATTTCATTTAATCCTCAC